AAATAAAAGGGAACTACAAAATATGAACCTAAATGTAGTTCCTGGCACACAATAAAGTTAGAAGGAGAAGATTTGTAGATGTCCTATGCTTCCTAAGGGAGAACAAAAAAAGAAAAAATTCTCTTTATTTAAATAAATAAAAATGCAAAAGAGAGGTAATATTAAAATATTTTAAATATTTTACACCTGAGAAATTAGAGATACCTTTAAGATATTACAGATAAATGAGTACAGTAAATGGTGTATTACAGTTTTAATTTTTGTTTCTGTTGTTGTTCTAAAAAATATCTATTTCCTCTTTCAATTTCTTCGAAATTTACGCTTTGCTTCACAAATATTTATTGATTTATTTTTTTTTACTATTCCAAATTTTAAATATACTCGTATTTCACTTTTTAAAAATTTTTAAAAAGATAAATATTTTTTTAAATATTTTCAGTTTTTTGGTGTCGATTACTTTCACAAGTTTTTTCTTTTGTGCCAAGGACGAACCCTATTGTTATTGGACCAATTCGAACAACGGGTTCGGGTTTATTAAAGAGTTTATTTTAATTATTTCAAAAACTAATAAAGGTACAAATATAAAATTTTGTTTACATGTGTCCAATTATATTCTACATATGCTCTAAAAATTTTAATGAGATAGCTGCACCGGTTCGGGTTGCTGCCATACAACTCCAACAGCAAATTTTTTATATTCGGAAAAATAATAAAGTCAAATTCATGAAACTTGGCAGTTGTGTGTCCAATTATAGGTCAAAGATATTTCTGAAGTTTTAGAGGAATCGCTTGACAGGTTCGGGTACCTGCCATACAACTCCAGAAGCTAATTTTAAATATTTGGAAAAATAATAAAGTCAGATTCATGAAACTTGGCAGTCATGTGTCCAATTATGGCTCAAATATATTTCTGAAGTTTTGGTGGAATTGCTCGACAGGTTCGAGTTGCTCCCATACAAGTCTAAAAGCTTATTTTAAATATTTGGAAAAATAATGAAGTCAAATTCATTAGACTTGGCAGTCGTGTGTCCAATTATAGGTCACACATATTTCTAAAGTTTTGGTGCGATTGCTTGACAGGTTCGGGTACTTGCCATACAACTCCAAAAGCTTATTCTTAATATTTGGAAAAATAATAAAGTCAGATTCATGAAACTTGGCAGTTGTGTGTCCGATTATAGATCAGATATATTTGTGAAGTTTTAGTAGAATTGCTTGACAGGTTCAGGTACTTACCATACAACTCCAAAAGTTAATTTTAAATATTTGGAAAAATTATAAGGTCAGATTCATGAAACTGGGCAGTCGGATGTCCAATTATAGGTCAGACACGTCCGTGAAGTTTCTATAGAATGATTTCAGAGGTTCAAGTAATTGCTACACAATAACGAAAAGTGCAGGGTATAATTCAATCGATTTATACCGACTGAAACGTTTTTACCTGTTCTATTTTTTTTTTATTTTCCATTATTTTTATTTTTCGAATAACCTAAACATTGATCACGTTTGAACTTTGTTTTTATCATATAGGATTTTAAAATTTTTTTTTTATACATATTTGGCATCGCATATGTATTTTAAGTACAGATAGTTACATCTGCAATAAAGAAAATTCATTTTAAATTTTTTGACTTAAATAAATAAAAACAATATTCCCAACATAAAAAAAGAAAAGAAAATTAAATTATTTCTGTCTTTTATATACACACACGCATACATACAAAACATCTAAAAGTAAAAAATATAATAAGAATGAATTTAAAATATCTTTAGCAAATTTGACTTTAAGAAAACTCAAAAATTATTTTTTTTATTCAATGAAAACTACATAACAATGTATTTCTTTCTTATATGCCAATTTTAAATTTGTCATATAATAATTTTATAATTGATTGAGTAAAAATTGAATAATACTCATAATAAATTTAATGCAACGAGCTTCAGAGACGAAATTCTGTACAAAATTTTAAAAATTTAAATTCCACAAGCACTCAATCTAAACTAACCAAAAAGAAAATTTTCAAACTTTTACTTGATCTTCTCCTGACTTTAGCAAATTTCAAAATCATTTTTTTAACTTTTTTTATTAAATGTATGTATTTTATATAACATAACCTGTCATGTTTAACATAAATTTAAGTAAAAAAAATCTGATGTGATCGAGCCATAACCGACCGCAATGTCTATTGTCTAGGTAAGTGAAAGTGTTACAGAATATTATAAAAATGCCTGTTAAATACTTCTTCCCAATTTTTAGGGCATTAGTAAGCTTTTAGTTAACATACCTAGAAAAATTCCCTGAAATGCTCGCCAGTTAGTTTCGGTAAAAACCAGAACTTAAATATCAATTTTCAAGAAATTCCATCAATTCATTCTGTAGATATGGTAAAAAAAGTAAAATCGAGTTTCCGAGCCCTGATCTTTCCAAAATATTTATAGATTCATTGTTTTAACAGCTCGAATTTGAATATTAAATTTCAATGAAATCGGTTGATTATTTCTCTTTATATATACGCAAAAATACATATTTGGCTCGTAGTAAGCATCCAGTTGCTGACATCTTATTTCTTCCGAGAGCTAGGACGTTGCGCGTACGATCAAATGAAGCTTATATATGAAATTTCAAGTAAATATGTTGAATATTTTCTTCAAAATGATGAAAAAATGTAAAACATACCCGCTAAAAAGTGCAGTTCCCGAGGCCTGATGTATCCCAAAAATTGATCAATTCGTGCCATAGCCGAAATAAGCTTACATATAAAATTTTATCAAAATCGGTTCAACCGAACTTGAGATACACGCGTGCACACACAGACAGACAGGCGGACACACCGACACCTCTCTAAAAATAGTTTATTTACACTTCCTTACTATGGAGAGGGAAGTGTACATAAACTGTTTCCTAACTCGATATGCAAAATTAGTTGCCATCACATAACCTCCCTTATTGTATGGAATTGCGGTCGGTAAAAATTAATATCAATTGTATGGATCATACCTAAAATAAATAATTGTATGCTGCCATTAAGCTTCTGTTAAAAATTACCATCCATCGAAAATCAAACAATTTTACATTAAATTGGTACGCATAAATCGTAATCTATGCTCTAAATTAAAATCTAAAGAAAATTTTGGAAAGTAAAATAATTAAAACGCACCTTAATTTAAAAACAATGTATATATGTATGTATATGTACGTTCGTACTTGTTTAAATTCAATTTACGAAAATATTATTATAAAAAATATACATAATACATTTATAACGATTTTGATTAAAAAGTTTCAATGTGCATAAAACCTACACTATTGTCTGTCCGTATGTCTATTTACAAAACTTCTACACCCTTGAAGATAGAAAGCTGAAAAATTCATATGCTAGATCTCTATAGAGAATATAAATCTCTATTAGAAACTTATTTCCGTAGAAGAAAATCTTTACCTATCTCCCCCACTCCAAGAGTTATAGTCCCTCAAAGACATTTTAAAATTTTGCAAACGCAGAAAAGTAGTGGCTGACTTCTTCGGCTGCAGCATATCGTATTTGAACTTTAAAAGAACAAATCATTAAAATTTACTGTTATCTAAAATCAGTTTTTTCCAAATTTTTGAGATCGTGCTTCCCATAGACTGCAGGTTGTAGGAATCTGAAATTTTAGCAGCTTTTAGACACTAAAGCTGCTAAAATTTACACTTTCCAGAAAATATGAAAAAGAGAAAATGAATTAACTGCAATTTCTATGTACGTATGAAAATGAAACATTAATTTATACATAACATACTTCTTGTTATATGAGTATATATATAACAGTAAGTACGTATGCACTTATTCAATACAATGCATTTTTATCTATGCACTAACGAGTAAAAGCATACACCATATATATGTGAGTACATATCTATTAGATAAGGAGTTATAAATATTGAATCAGATATAATATATATGTATACATCCGTGGCACCAATATACATAATATTATGAAAATTCAATTCTACTTCCATAATGTTATATAAATGTTGTTCAATACAATGTCATAAAATCCAATGGTGGAAAGAGAACATCTGGGCAAAAGTTCTTTTAATAAATGAATCATAAGCAATAAAAAAAAGAGAAAACAAAATTAATTTCAAATACTGTTCATCGTTATTGAATTGTTCAATATTTTCACATGTCAGCGACCCTTTTCTCGGCATTTTTGTGCTTATGTGCATAAACATATGTACATACATACACTCACTATACTTTTAGTATTAAATGTACGTGCATACAATGCACATACACTCATATTTTTGAACTCGTATATTTTTATTTACGAGTATATGAGCATATTTTTGTTGATTAATCGATATTCCCAATTATATAACAAAATCATTATAAAAATTAAGAGTTGATTTTAAATTGAATCGACGTACTGCTTTCTTTTTTATTTTTTTAGAAAGTGTAATTCTTTGATTAGTAAATGAATTCTGTTTAATATATATAATATAATAAATATTAAGTTATTTAAAAAAAAATAATGACAGATACTATGAAGTATATACTTAAACTATATTACATACATATATGAAAACAAAAAGCAAACAAAAGCAGAAAGAAATGGAAAGTATTGATTTTTTCAACATATCTACACATATCACCAAGGATAGATTTTTTATTCTTAAATTTTATTACATATGTATTACTTCTTCAGTTTTTGGCTATTTACGTAATAAAATTTAAACTGTTAAAAAAATATGGTTAGACATTGAACGGTAAAAATTATAAAACACCTAATTTTTTGACATACACAACAAATGCATTGTAATTTTTTTTTTAAATTAGTAACATTATATTAGAAAAGAAAAGCTTATTTTATACTTAATGTACATATGTAAGTACATAGAAAGTATGTACATATATTATGTAGGTTTGAAAAACTTAAAATTACTTTAGAACATTTACGCAAGTTTTACATTATTTCCAAAATCTTTTATAGAAAATATAGTGAATATAAATACTTACATATAAAAAATTAGCCAGGTACGAATTTCATATAAATTATTAATTAAAATAAAAACACAATTCTTCTTTCAATTTGCTTTAATAAAAGTACAATTAACATAAACAATATATACCCCAGGCAACATATAAATAATGTATGTAAATACCGCATAAATGTAAACTGTGTAAAGTACGGTACATATCTTTTAAATTTTTAAAATCTTTTCAACAAAATATCAAAATGAGAAAGAAAAAACACTATATTTTACATTATCAAAATGCATTAACTTATTCTTGGAAAATTTTAATAGTAAAAAAATTTGATACACGCCCTTAAATAATAATAATCTCTCAATAATTTAGTTTAGAAGGGAGCTATAAATTGAATTTATTACTATATATTGCACAAAAATAGCAAAACAATTTTTTAAATATATGTATACTACATTTTCTTTTAATAATATTATTTATGTAAATATTATTGTATATAAAGTATGCAATTAAAATTTTAAAAAATATTCGCTTCTGTTTTTCTTTTTTTATAATTTTTTTTATTATTATTTGAAATGAAAAAGTAACTTCTTTATTGAAACACTCGTTCTTAAGTACAATAATCTGAAAGTAAAAATGTCAAATATTTTAATAACAGTGTTTTAATAATTAAACAAAGTTCGGATGTTGAAATCATGCGTATAAAATTTTATTTGAATCGACTACTCTGACAACTAACGGTGATTGCGGAAAACTTTATTAATTTTATTTTATACCATTGTGATCTCGTATTTCTTTCAAATCAACTTGCTAGATTACGGATTATTATTTTCATTTTAAGAATTTTCCTATTTAATTAATTATATGAATATGTAATACATATAAATCAATACATTAAAATTTTAATAGTTAAAAAATTAAATGGCACTACGCTAAATTAATTGCGTTCATCAATTTCTTATAAATGAATTAACTGGGCACAGGCATTCATGCATAAAACTCATACAAAATCCATATATCTTTTACTCTTCAATATGAAATTGAAACACATTTTCAACTTTGGCGCCTACTTACTTAAAGTTATCATACCAAAACTTAAAGTTATCATACTATACAACATACATACATTGCACAAAAATACTTTTTTTATAGGTTTACAAACCACTACCGAATGTCATTTCCCAATCGAAGGTTATCAAAGTTCAGTAATGAAATATTTACTTTTTCATTGTTTTTCTTATTTCATTGACGAAAACCGGAATAAAGAGTCTCGTGTTTTATGACTGTTTAGACAAAAGTAACAACTATCTCATAAAAGTTTTTAAAAATACAATATAAAAAATTGGAATATAATTATCAAAATGCCATTAGAAGCGAAAATTGGTCCATCTATTTTAAATGCAGATTTGTGTCAACTTGAAGTTGAATCTCAAAAGTTAATATCGAATGGAGCTGATTATTTACATTTAGATGTGATGGATGGTCATTTCGTCCCAAATGTAAAAAAATAGTTTAGTTATCAAACATTTTCAAAATGTTTTCATTTGATTTTTGCAGTTAACGTTTGGACATCCTGTTGTTAAATGTTTAAGAAATAAAATCAAAGATGTATTTTTTGAAACTCATATGATGGTGTCAAATCCCAATCAATGGATAGAACCAATGGCTGATGCTGGAGTAGATCAAGTATAAAATTTTTAAACCATGTAAATATTTAAAACTACTTCTAGACTTATTTTTTAGTATACATTCCATTATGAAGCTCTGAATGAAAAAGAAAGTATTCCAGATGTATGTCGGAAAATTCGTGAGAACGGAATGAAAGTTGGAATCGGTTTAAAACCTAAAACTCCAGTCAATGTTATAGAGGAATTTATACCATTAGTTGATCTAGTATTAATTATGACCGTTGAACCGGGATTCGGTGGTCAAGCATTTATGGAAGGCATGATGCAGAAAGTCAAGTGGTTGAGAGATAATTATCCAGAGTTAAATATTGAAGTTGATGGTGGAGTTGGACCTAAAACTATCAGTTCTTGTGCAGAAGCTGGAGCCAATTGGATTGTTTCAGGTACAGGAATTATTCAGGCCCCTAATCAAAAACAAGTTATAAGAGAATTGAAAACAGCTGTTGAGAGTTCTTTCAAAAAATTATATCGATGAAATTTTTTTTTAACCTATAACAGACATCAACAACGCTGAAAGATTTGCAAATTGGTTTGAAGTTAATATAGAATAGTATATGTATTGTATACATATAATATTATAAAGTATGGGTTAAATATTTGATATTTTGAATCGGCGTGGTTTAGTTTCTATTTAACCATTGTTTAATTTAATTTGTAGTTGTAAATTAAAGCTTTTTGAAAATTGTAGAAGATAAATTTTTATTACTTTTTCAATACAGATAGATTTTTATAAAGTTGTTTAAAAATGTTTTAATATTAAAATCCTGTAAATGATTAGTCTTTTTAATTTTTAAATGTAAAATATTTCAACAAAGAAACTACATACATATAACAAAGTATGGTTTTAAGTGCGAAAAAATTCGTCCATTCATCACTGTGCTGAGTTTTTATTAAAAAAAGAGAAAATTTAGCAAATTTTATTAGCTTGTTTTGTTTATTAAATTCGTCTTTGTAACATTCCTCACTCGTATTTAAAATTCCAATTAAGAGTTTATTTAGAAAGTATACTTTCTTCCAAAGTGGTTGCGGTTGTTAATTTCCGATCCATGCTAAATAATAAAATATAAAATTATTTTAACAACTCGAAAATTGTTTCGTTTAATAATACCTTGCAAAACCATTTGCTATTTCTTGAACTCGATCAGGATGACAAACAATTGCTGTTTTAGCGTTTTTGGAAAACAAAGGGGATACATATTTTGCCCCAATGGTTTTTAATTGTTCCATCTTTATTTTACTTACTTCCTACAAATAATAAAAAATTAATTTTGTGAAATCGAAAAAGATAAGAAGTATTTACTCTAACTAAATGGCGATTGTGATTGGAATCTACCATTTTATAACCACAAAGAATACCCTGTGTTACTAAGTTTCCAATACTATGTTCTCTTTCAATCAATTCAAATATTAAAGAGCTTCGAGCTGATTCAAATAAATTTTCATCCCAAACTTCAGCCGAAGATAAATGATTTTCGATAATTGATTTAGCTTCTTTAAACGCTGCTACAACGTTTGACGCACGATATAGAGACAAAGAAAGAACACCTTCTTGAGGTCGAGGAATCAAAGTGTAGCAATATGCAAAACCTTGCCCACGAATTTGACGCCACAATGGTCCCTCTAATTGTGTCAAATATTGCAAGTACAGCATCAAAGCTGGCAAGTCTGGATCATTGAAATTTTTTATGCTTGGAATGGAATGAAATAAAAATGCACTCTCTACACAACCCATCCCAACAACAGTTCCTTGCATATCAGGATAAATTCCATCAGATTTAATAATTTTCCAATCGGGAATTACTATTAACCTTTAAAATTAATATAAAGATTATTTTTTAGTAATGCTTTTTGTGCGTTTACTTACTCTTTCTTATTTACACCCTTGCCCTCTCTTAAAATATTTTTCCAAGGTTCTGACAAATTGTGTTTATTTTTAGAATGCATTTTAACATTCGCAGCAATATGTATTGAAAGATTTTCTGGTTTTAATAATTCACTCCTAACTTTTGCAATGTCAGCTATAATTCTTTCGACATCTTGCGATTTATCAAGATACTCTATAATTTCTCCCAAAAATTTCTGTTGTTTTAATACAGAACTTTTTTTAACATTGCTTTCTAAAAAAAATTGAATTTAAAAAAAGGTCTTTAAATAAATAGAGAAGAGTACCCTCATCATAATACATGGCTTTCAACAAGTCTTTGGCAATGGTGTGGCCTTTACGTTTTGCTTGAGACACATTATTGAACATTTTTGAGGCACATACTTTTATTCGATCAGCTGGAAATTCCGTTGAATGTAGTAAATCAATTACCCATTCAACACCTTTTTCATACTTCTTTGAATCCACTTGAATTGACAGTGTGGCTACATGAGAAAATACACCTACTGAAAATCCGCACCCCTCCAAACCGAGCGTTGTGCTGCTATCAATAGTGTCTCTTTCCAAAGCTGCAACGACTTCCTCATAAGGAATGAGAGTGCCATTACGACGAACTGGTGACTCTAAAAGCATTTCCAATAACAAGAGTAAGTATGAACGATATTTTGGTTCCAACCCACTCGTATTCATTGTTATAGTTATCTAAGAAACGCATAAATGGTGTACTCATTACGAGAAATTTGTTAAAAACTTACGTAAATAAAATTTGTATTAATATCGTAAACTTCACTGTAGACTGGAATATCGGAGAAGTTAAAACAAGAAATTGATTCAGTGTTAGAGGCCTTATAAATTTTTAGCTCATGAAAATTTATTCCGTCAATAGAAGGTACAGGAACATGCGTAAGCATTTCTGGTGGTGGTGGTATCTAAACGAAAGGTATAAAATCAAATAAAATGGAATAAGTTTAAATGCTTATATATTTCACTTCATTTTCATCCATTGCTTTTTGTAGCTTTTCCCCTTTTTCATTTAAACCAACTTGTCCCAAAGCTACTCTTTGTTTCTCTATTCTATCCAGTTCTTCTTTCGACATTCTATTATTTTCCTCAATGCTTGGAAATGCTCTGACACAAATAAAACTGCCCTGAAATTTAGAAAATTTAATTTTTAAAATATGAAAATTTAATTTTTAAAATACATATGAAAATTTAATTTTTAAAATATGAAAATTTAATATTTAAATATTTTTCAGATTAATATTACTAACAGAAAATAAATACTCTTTGATTAAAGTGATCCAATAATTCTCATCCATTTCTAAAAACGCTTCAAAAAATTTATTAGGATTCAATCGGTCACAAAACTAAAACAAAGAAATTAAAGCTTCTAGTCATATAAACACAAAAATCCTTTTTACATCATTATCATTAGTTCCATATAAAGCATCGCCTATTACCAAATAAGCTGCAGTATCATGCGGTTCATTTTCCAAATTACTCAAATTTTCTAAAATTAGACGATCAAGAATAGATTTCATTCTGGACATATCAACTTTTTCTTCCCCTTAAAAATCAAATATCATTCAAGTAGTCAAATTGTTGTTGTATTTATTTTTCTTACCAACCAAAAATTTTTTCAAAGTCTCTTTGAGTTTGCTTAAAACTAAATCAATTTTTTCAATCGGAACATTATCAAAAATGAAAACTAATAATGATTCATAATTTTCTAGCAAACTATGAGATACTTTGCTGGCAAAGGGATCATCAATTTCTACGAACTCTCTTTGCAATGGACTTACAGGAGTATCACTTAAATATCTAAGCAATACGTTGCATGCCATCAGTTTTTTATATTCATGAATGCAGTTTGGTCCTCGATAGCCAATGTAAACCAACCCACAGTCTTCTTCATCCGATGGATACAAAATTTTGATATCGTGAGATTCAGTCAAAGGTGCCACCGGAGTTTGCCATGGTTTCTCAAACTTCGGCAGCTTTCCTTTCCCAATAATTTTCTGCTCCACCGGCTCTAAAGCTTCAAATACTTTTTCAGGTTTCACTTTTCCAGCTATTATCAAAGTTAAATTTTCCGGGCGATAAAACTTGGCATGATATTTTTTAATCTGAAATTAATATAAAATGTCAAGAATATTGATCTTGAAAATCGTATAGGTATTTTATATTTGTAAAATAATTGATTTTCAAAATGTAAAAAATAACTTTTATGTATGTACTTTATCATTATTACAACTTGTCCTCAAATTTTTCATTATTCCTCCAGTTTCTGCACTATAACCTGAACTAGGATATGCCAGACGAAGCATTTGTAAATTTGCTCGCGATTCACCAGTATTTTCACGACCTTGCATTTCACAGTAAACCACGCCACCATCTTCTCCCTCCCCAGAAATATGATGAACCTCAGTAATAAATCCAGAATCCTTAAAAAATTGCTTATTTACATGTTTTAATTTGAAAAGTAATCAAATAAGCCTACTGATAATATTGGATACAAAACATGGTCGAGGTATATAGGCATTAATGTTAAAAACCCATCACTACCTGCCGTAGTCATGGTATAACAGGTGTGATCTGTATCAGTCCATGCATTCGTTCCTGAAGCTAAACAACGGTTTGCTAATAAGTCTAAAACACCCTTATAGGGATATTTTTCAGACCCCAGAAATATAAGATGTTCTAAGGTGTGCGGCAGTCCATCATCATCATGAGCTTCAGTTGCTGAAATGTGTCTTTTTATGATAGATATACAACGCAAAATCTAAACAATTTTTTATAAACCTTACCTAATGTGTAATAACCATTTACCACAGGACCATCAACATCACAGATCACTACTTTTAATCCAGTTTGCTCTGATTTGTATTTCTGAGCGTCGATATAGCCATTTATTTTCGTATTTGTCACCAATTTAAATGAACTCATACTATATTTCTCTGAAAAAATGTCTTAGTACTCCTTCTATTAAAAAAGTTAACTTTAAGCTAATAAATAAAAGTTTAACCCCACCGGTTTCAGGTTAAAGAATGAAACATTCTTATTAATTTGTGCAGAATTTTGCAATGTCACTGTCAAGTTTTTTTTGGGAGTTGCCATGGATGTACTATAAAATATGGTTAGCTACTTTTATATTCTTTTCGTAGAGAAAAAGTGATGCTAAAATATAAAAAGTCACAGTGTCTTTGGCAAGTTAAAATGAAAATATTAAAATAGAGAATAAAAGTTATGAGAAATTGAAAAAAAACTTCAATTTAAAATAAAATGGTTAAAAAATTGTAAAAAATTAAATACTTAACATAAAAGAAAAAACTACGGCGGGCTAGTCACCTACCTAGTTAAAACTGTATGACGCTACGGAGCTAGGGCATGATATCACGCACTAGCCCTATGCTTCTCCTAGAAGTGAACAAAGTAACAAAAAAAACTTTTGTTATGGCCACACTTTTTTAATTTAAAAAAGTAAGCAAAACAAACCACTTTTTCACTTACCCAGCATTTACACGTACAAGTTACTTGCAAGAAAGTTGCAATACATACAAAAATTTTACTAACACATTGAAATATTTCTACTTGCTTGTTTACTTGCAGTTCAACTTGCAAGAAAATTTTGTTGCCAGTAATTTGAGCAAGTAATTTGACATATTGAGAAATTCACAAAAAAAAATTTGTTGTTTTGATTTTTTTTTTTTTTAATTTAAAATTTTTGAATTTTTCTTTGAAAAAATTAAACTTAGCAAACTTATGGTTTCTAAAATTTATAAACAATTATATATATTGCTAGTTGTTTTCTTCTCAAAGACATTTTCAAAAATTAACTTGCTAAACGCCTACGTCATAATAGCAAGTAATTTGACATTTGGAAAAACTAATTGACAATTAATATTATACAAACTTGCTTGCAAGTAACTTGTATGTGTAAATGCTGGGTTACGTATATTTTTTTTATTTAATGAACTTTTTTAAACAATTATATTTATTTCCTAAAACAAAATAATTTTTTTTTTAAACTTTGACAAATTGTCTAAATTTTTTTTATTAAATTACTTAATACACAAAATACATCAGTTCTAATAAAACTTTAATAATTTTGCTTATACATTTTGTGTGAAATTTGGCATAAAAAATTTCACACAAAAAATTCTACGAGGGGAAAATGTTATTACTTTTGGGTTTACGCTGGCAACAACTTTTCATGTTGCAGCATATAAATCATATTCTATGCTGGCTTCAAAAAATTTCTGCCAATCTCTGTCCATATGGTATAATATGTCCTTAGGAGCTACCATTCTAAAAAATTGAGAATATAGCGAGAACTGCGCTATATTTGTGTTCAAGTTTTTTCATAAACATTGCTAAACGATCACAAAAATATTTTAATTATCATGGCTAGCGTAGTTAAATCAGCTGCACTTTTTTTTTACTAGCTTTTACAGTTTTTTTAGGAATTCGTTTGTTAATTGATGTATTTAAACATAACAAAATTTCTTTTTGTTTTCGTTTTCTTTTTTAGTTTTTCTTAATCTTTTTTTTCCTTAAATAGAATTTTCCACTATTTGGTTCAAAATAAATAAATTTTTTTTGTTAAGGACATTTTTTGTTCATGAACATAATACTGCAAATTCAAAACAGCAAAAGTTTTTATACAACTGTTGAAAATATATTGCGTATGTATTATTGTTTCGCAGTATTGTGTTTATTAGTTCGCAGTATTGGTACTTCTTAGATTACATGATCGAATGATGAATATAAAATTGTTTCTATATAAAACATTGATGTTTTATAATATTAATAAAATTTTTATTAACTTTATTTTAAGTCGTGTATTCTAGACTAAAAAATATAGCACCAAATTTTTTTTCATTCACTGTTATACCATTTTTTACTCTCAATTCTCTCAGATATGTTGCCTGACATGGCGATACAAAAAAATGCGGAAAAAACTCGAAAAATACATTTAATCAAAATTATAGTTAAAATTTTGAGTTGCAATTTGAGTTTTTGATATGTTGTTCAAAAAACTCTAAACTCCATTTTAGTATGAAAATTTTTAGATTTTAGTCAACTTTTCATATGAAAAATTCGAAATAAAAATAGGCAAAAATCATAATTTTTCCAAACAAACATGCATAAAATTTTTAATTGTTTTATACTTAATCTATTCCGATTATCAGACCATTGTTTATAAAGAAGACTTTTATTTCCTTTAAAAACGTCAAACTGTCAAATGTTTGACTATAAACGGCAAACACAGTTTTTTTTTTGAAACAAAAATCAGAAATAAATGAAGGAGTTTTTCTCTCTTGTCAAAAAAAAAAAGATTTTAAAAAAGGTTTTTGGAAAAAAGTAAAGTAAATGAAATGTAAAGCGATGAAAAGTAAACACTTACACTTAAAAGCGTGCGAATGGCAACCCTGTATCAAAAGTGTATTATATAAAGTACATAATTCCGAAGTTGTAAAAATAATGTGAAAGTTTGTTTACATACATATTTTAAAAACTATCTAAAATTCTAAAGAAACAAAAAATTTTGCTTTGAGAAACTTTATTTAAACCTTTGAATGCGAAAAATAGTTTATATAGCAAATACCATGTCGAAAAGCAAAAAATCTTCAAAGAAATTAGACATACCGCAAACCGTAGGAATATCTAAAACTGAACCAATTCAAATGGATAAGCAAGGAAACATCGTTATTAAAATTTTAGCAAAACCCGGTGCAAAACAAAATTCTATAACAAATATATCAGATGAAGGAGTAGGAGTACAAATCTCAGCACCACCTGTTGAAGGCGAGGCGAACACTGGTCAGTATAAAATAACTCAACTGTTGTACTAACATACTCAGCTTCTAAATATAAAAAGATATCAATATTGTTTAATGTACTTTCATCAGTACTGTTCATACATATGCATTTTATTCATTATAGAACTGGTTAAATATTTATCTTCAATTCTTGGATTAAGAAAAAGTGACGTAACGCTGGATAAAGGATCAAAATCTCGTCAAAAAACGATTCTAATTTTTAAAGGGATCACTACAGTAGATAATGTTAAAACTTGTTTACAAAAAGAATGTGGTTAAATACATAGGTGTACGTGTAAATTGAATTTTAGTTTAGAAAATTTGCAAATGTGAACATGAACGTAATTGATAAAACTTAGTTTTTTTTAATAATTAATTTATTGTAATAAAATAGCTTAAATAAAATATACATCATATGTATCTTTACAAAATCTAAATTTTTAATCTAAGGTTTTATACCGTATTTTCTTAAAATTTCAACGATTTCATCCGCCATAATACCTCTACGAATTATTTTATATTTATCTGGAACTGATAAATCAATAACTGTTGAAGCAGATCTGGACGTTTCGTCAAGGCTCAAAATTCCACCATCGAAAATTCCGCCTAAGCTAGGCCATATACTTGCAAATTCCTGAATATTAAGGCTACTTGGTTCACTCGATAAATTAGCACTTGTTAATGCTATCGGAAATTCTAATTTACTGCATAAATTTTGTATAAATTTAAGCTTTGGTATTCTAATGCCAATTTTATTTATTCCTGGATTTAAAAATGGTGAACTAAGCTTTTTTGTTTTTTCTAATACTATAGTAATTGGACCTGGTAGCAATTCGTTTAATAAATTTTCCGGTAAGTGTTCCGCTTTGCCATAATATTTTACATTTTGTAAATTGGCAACACAAATTGCGACAGGTTTTAATTTATCTCTACCTTTAATATTATATAATTTCTTTATTGCTACCGAATCATTAGCATTACAAGCTAATCCGTAAACTGTATCTGTTGGCACTGCTATCACTTGCCCCATGTTTAGAATTTCGGTAGCTTTTTCTATTGAATTTTCTGTTTCGGAAACAAAAATTTTTTGTAACGTCATTTTAGAATAAAAGTTTAATTTAGAATTTTTGAAAATTGTACATGCAACGAAATCTTTTAATCTGATCATTGACTATAAATATAGAAATAATGCAAAATTTAATCTCTCCAATTATGCCCACACTGTTGATTACAGCATTTATAAAATGTAGTCATAGGTTCATCAGCAGAACGTGTTTGCATTTGCATGAAATAAGCTTTCTTATGAAAACAGGCCGGGCACTCAGCATCAGTCGAATCAACGTTCTCCCAAGCAGCTGAACCGCCCATTACATGGTCAACTTCCTGAAATTCCATTGAATTTTATTAGTGAAATTATAAATTTCAATTTTTACTTAATATTACCTTCAGTTTAGGATAAGTTTTTGTTGATATTTTCTTTTTAATTTTGCAAATGTATGGACAAGTATTACAAGAGAATCTAAGTCCGTAGTTATCTTCAGCAATTAATAATAAATTACCACAAGTCGGGCAAAACAACATAATTCATATTATTAATAATTTAAAATTTTCATTTTTCAATTAATTATTAATATCATAAAATTATGCTATACTATTAAAATAAAATTTTGTAATAAATTTTCAACTTTGTACGTAATGATTCTATGGAACTAGTTTATTTAACCTTAATTTATTTATACTAAAAAACATGATGAAAATGGGTTAACGGTCACTTTCCAGAAAAATAGCATTCGTTGCTTTCATCGTTTGACGCTCACTTCCCATAAAAATACCATACAACCCATTAAAATTAATTTGCTGTGTGGTATTATTGTGAGGAGTCACCGTCAATGCTTTTACTATGCAACTCATTAAAATTAAGCAACTCATTAAAATCGTCAATCTTTTGATTGCTCAGGTGAATGGTATTTTTACGGAAAGAAACTGTCAATCAATCGATTGCCGAATTGATGATCACTTCCCACAAAAATACCATTCAGAAACTTAATTTTAGTGGGCTGAATTATATTTTTGTGGGAAGTGACCGTCAATCAATATTAATGTGCTGATTGGTATTTTTATGAGAAATGACCGTCAATCTTACGCAACCCCATTTTCTTGCACAAATTCATATATAAATTGATATGTCAAAACTAAAGAATTGTCAAATAAGTTGCTTACTCAAATTATTAAATAAAAGTTTGCTTTGCTTTTCCCCTAAAATAATAAATTTTATAAGCAATTAAAAATTTAAAATAAAATTTACGAGATTTAATAAAAATATTTTCATTGAAATGTAAATAGCATTAAAAAAATAAAAATTGAGGAAAAATAATAAGTTCATATTATATTCAATGGATTTATATTGTACGAGTTTCTAATTAATAAAATTGTAAGGTATGCTTTTTTGATGCGTTCATTTTGAAGTTTCATATAAAAACAAGAAGAATTTGAGCAACTGCTCTAAATTCTTTGATATTATTAAGAATAGTGTTACATTTCTATTATATTTTCGACAAAAATAAATTTTAGTCGGTGCCTAATTTTAAAGAAATCATTTTCATATACTTGGGTAATATACTAAGCCGAATTTCTGCAATAATGTTAAAATTGACCTTGAAACTGTAATGATGCCAAATCTATTGTACGGTATGGACAATTAGTTAAAAATAAAATTGCTCTGTTCACAACATTATTAACTTATGTAGTATTTATCTATGAATTTTTAATTTTCATAATTTGTGTGCATACACATACGAAGGTATATAATAATACGAATTTGTTTTTTTTGGCGCGATGCATAAACAAACTAAAAATTCAAATTGAACTTTAAAAATTTGATAACCTTTTGCTTTCATGATTGTTGAAACTTGAAATAATTTCCTTTCATTAGTTTGACTTTTAAAAAGTCAAACTAATGAAAGGAAACAGCATCAAACTTAAAAAATAGATTCATGAATACTACCCTTCCTTCCAAATGACTTAGCATATAATTATATTAAACTATTTTATATAACTGTTTATTATAATTTTTAGACTTTGAGTATCAGTATTTTGTAACAGAATGGAGGAAAATGTAAAAATGGAAAACCTTGATCCAACTTTTATATCAAGGAATTTTTTAAATTATCGTACAAAAAATGAAGAAAATTCATCAAAATTTAATGAGATGAAAGAGGATGAAAAGTTTTTCCTATTTCATGAAAACTGTGTTAACACAACTGGAGCAGATAGTGCATATCAATCAGCTTATAGTAATTTGTCAACTCCGACTTCTATATTAAGTTCATCACAATTTTCTACATACTCATCATCAATTACCCAATCGTTTAATTCAACAAAAAACTCATACAAATCTCAATCGAATATTTTTGAAGATAAATTTGGGAGTTCAATTAGCAAAAATGACTTATTGACTTTGACACCAGTAACACAAAATGCAAAACGTATATCTGCGTTCCATATAACAACACCGAGAAGTGATTCACATTTAAGTTGCATTACCAAACGACCATCTAATTATTCTCTTGTTGAATTTCAAAGCACACCCAAAAAACTAAAATCATCTAATTGTGATATATATTCCACTCCACAAAAGCATAAAAAGGAAAAAGGTAACCTCTTTAAAAGATTACATTCAGCACCAGACTTCGAAAATAATTCAAAAGATGATGATATTAAGTCATGGAAAACGCCAGCTCAATCAACACCTAAAAGAAATCCTTTACAGCCTATTCAACAAAGAGGCAGTAGTACACCGAAAAATACGCCAATAAATACATTAAAACGAAATTTGCTTACGACACCATTAAACAAAATTAACGAAAACTCTTTGAATGATCTACTAAATTGTTCGAATGACGCTTTTGAATCAATTTTAAATTCGGATGCTTTAAATTCACCCAGGAAAACAAAGCTTGTTACTGTTAAAAGACTTAACAATGTCCTAAGTGATGAAAATAATTTAATAAATTGGTAAGATATTGTTTTAATATATGAATAAGATTTCAAAACTTAAAATTAATTTTAGTGCACTAGAAATAAATAAGAAAGCTTCATGTAAAACGTTTCGTCGATTCTTAAAATTTAGCAGTCAAAACAATTCGTTATCTATTTTAAACGACGATAAATCAATATTAGAAAATGAAAACGTTCAAGCTTTTGCAGTCATGCCGAACAAACGAAAAACTCATCCGGCAATCCATTCCGTCATTCAAGATCGGTTAAAGGCTAAAAAACGTATAAATGCAGAACGATTAGCTGAATTAAATGGGAAAAACTTAGAAGTAAATTTTGAAAAAAGTAAAAATACACCTGATCAACTTTGCCAGTCGAATAAAAATGAGATCGTGAATAACATTTCATTTCAAAATAATTCAATCGATAATTCAAAAAAGATCGATATTAATTCAAGCCCTAAATGTATGAAAATTAAGTTGAAAAATTTCATAACTGAAACTCCAGTAAATTCAACACAAAATATAAACATGGATATAACACCACCTTGTAATGAATCTAAGAATATTGTAATTTCGAATATTGAAAGTTGTGATATGGATGTAAGCCCAATTGAAACTAATTTTCAATTTAAAAAATTAGGTGAAACTGATCTTATGAATGAAACAAAATTACACTTAATTGAGGAGAACTCTTTAGATGATTTCATGCCACTGACGCCACCTTTAAATAAATTTGGGAAAGATGACGATTTTATCTATTTGGAAAACAGTGCAGAAAATGGTGAATTGGAAAAATCTTCCCTAACAACACCCCCCCGCACGTCAATCAGATCAACTTCAACTTCATCACAAAAATGTTCTTTATTTTCGATTGATAAAGAAAGATTTGAAATATTATATCCGACAATACCAGAAACTCCTAAAAAAAAATTCAAAAATAATAGTCCGAAAAAATCACCAAAAAAAAACAAAAAAATTATAATAAAATCTAAACCACATACAAATAGAATCTTTTATAATGGTTGTACATATTTAAATATAATTGGAAAACTAGAATTGTACACAATTGTATTAGAAAAAATTTTTTATTATTTATCTGATGAGGATTTGTTAAATTTATCAATGACAACAAAAGTTTATCGTAGAATTCTTCATGATAATTATAAAACGAATCTAAGATTAATTAAATTTATAAGAGATTATAAGGTACGTAAAGAGAACTATTGCAAGCAATCTCATTTTGATAATATAAACAGTTGTAATGATAATATAAACAATTACAATAATAATTACAATAAAATCAAGCCATTCACATTGCACAATGAAAAACTGCTATCTAAACGAGACTCTAAAAATAATTTAGTACACGATAAATCTTTAAATAAATCGCCTACTGCAAGTCCTTCAAAGCGCAAATTCCACGAATATCAAAAGGTAAAAATAATTTTTTACTTGGACTTAATTTAAAAAAATTTTATTTGTTCTTTTTATTTTAAGATAATTAAAAATCTTTCAAATAACGAAAATATGGGAAAATGTCCACGCTGTGCGATGGCAAGTTATATTATAAATCAACCACCTTTAGATTCATTTCCAGAATTGGATGCATCAATACTTAATAATAGGGAAATAAAATTCAAAAACATCAATAATGATACAGTAAGAAATGAATTTGAAAACATTTTTAATCTGAACATTAATGTAGATAAATTTCAGTTAAAATCGATACAATCACAGCAAAAACAACAATATTTTTTTCAAACAATAGATGAGGAAAATAAAAATCTAACAACAGATTTATTAAGAAGATCTAGTTTAAAAACACATTCTGTTACACAAAATTCGAATAATGAAAAAATGAAATTAAAAAAAGCATTTTCTGTTGATTCGTGGCAAGGACAATTAAGAAAAAATCGTTTATTACAGGAAATATCAAAATTTCAACCATATGGCGAATGCACATCAATTAAATGTAAATTTAAATATTGTTTAGAATGTTTCTGTGATTATCATCCCATGGAAAAATGTAAATTAACAGCATCAGTTTCACCGTCAAAGGAGGATGTGCAAAATGGTATTTTAGAAATAATGAAATCACCAAAAAGAAACAATTCTGGAATAAATTATAAATCTAGTGGATCACGTAATTTAAATATGAAAAGAAAATCTTTAAAACGTTTATGCTTTAATTAGAATAAATTTCTTTATTATATTTTTATCTTATGTTTACATTAGATCTTAAATTTAGTATAAATGAAGTATTTTTTTTCTCATTTTTTTTTTTATTTTTTTTAAAATCACCTCATATTTGAATTTCAGAAATTTAAATTTTTGAAATAAAATTTAAATTCAGATAAATTTTTCCATAATTTCAAAACACAAAAATAAAATACGAATATTTTTTTAAATGTATTTTAAATTATTATATTTTTTTAATATTATAAAGGCGAGAACAGTTTTGTCGTTTTAAGAATTTTAATAATTAAGAAATTTTTATATTTCGTGTATATTTATTTTATATGTAAGTCGATGTATATGAATATTTATCAGCTCTCATTACTTTTAGTTAAAATTATTTTCAATTAAATAAAATATAAAATAGGAATCTTTGTAATGTGTTTAGGAATTTTCGTACAAATTTAAAAGAAACAAATAATATCAAAAAATATATTATTTTCATTTCTTGTATTTATTTTTGTATTAATTTTTATTATATGTATGGCTATTATGAATTATTTGTTTTAAATATTTATTCAAATTTTAATATTCCATTTTTCATTAGTTTGTAGTTTTTTTAAAGTTTTTTTTTTTAACCTTTTTTTACTGAATAAAAAATTCATTATTTTTTTTTTAATTAACTAAATTTAATAATCGAGAATTATAATTTTAGATGTATTATTGTAATGCTCTCTTATAAATTTATACAAAAATATTATTATCTAATAAATTTTGGTTGTTTTCTATTCAATATTTTTTCAAAAAAAATTTTAATATTTATTTTTTCTAAAATTTAAACTCAGGCAAAAGTTCAAGAAATTTTGAGGACAAAATTTTTAACTTCTGTTAATCAATACGTTGCAAGTCATATTTTCGATTTATGTATTTAGTATAAAACGTTTTAATTAAAAATAAACCTACTTTTCTTTTAAAATTTACATTTATTTATATAAAGATAGTATATAACGTAAACTATTTACAATGTAACTTCTTCTATAAATATTGTCTGTTATCAATGTTTTTTGGCCAATCTAAGTCGATGCCAATTACATCAAGAGCTATAATATCAACTGGTTGATTTATAATTGATGATATTGACGGATGGGTTCTACCAAATTCTCCATGGACAAGCTCTTTTATATAACAACCAGCCTGAGTCGTCAAATCTAAAATCAATATATTTTTCTTATCCTTACTAATTGTAGCTTGAACACTATGTACAATTTTAGGTCTCGTATGTAATGGTCTTCTATGAAGTACTCGTATAGGTGTTTTTTGTTGTGTGATAAAACCATTTGGCATGTTCAATTTTTTAAGAATTTCTATAGTCACGGGCGTGCCCAAAACGCATAAGGCGCGATAAATTTTTTTTTTATTTTCTTCACCACTTTTAATATGGATGAGTTCGTCACGGTTTACCATTTGCAAATTTATCACAGATATTTTCTTTGATTTTTCAATATTAAATTCCATTTGAGCAGCACTTCTTAAAGATAAATTGGTGACTTTTGAATCAGGAATTTCTAAAACAAATGGACGACCATTACCTAAACATCTTACATCAACGTCTTCTCTACCACTTGAAGAAAATATGATATTTGAATTTGATGTTCTAAAATTCAAGCAAAGTTATTAGAATTGAAAGAAAAAGTATTTAATTAAAAACGATAAATAAATAATAAGGAAAATACCCAAAATATTCCGAAATATTTTCGATTATAATTTCTTGTATACTTTCTTCTAAAACTCTTTGCCCATCAAGGATCCATGGCGAATGAGGTAAATTGCGGGATAATTTTCTATATCTTCCAGCCAAAAAAACTGTAGGGCCTGCAAATGAAATACTTTCCAGGTAAATCGCTTCAATCGGAATTTCTAATAAAACATTGAAATATTTCTGAAATTCATTTAATGACACCTTCGTTGGTGTAAAACATTTCTCTAATAAACCTCTTGTAGCCACAATTCGTTTTCGATGCTTCGAGGTCTTTTCGAGTTTCAATTCACAAATAAACTGACTCATTTTTTCAATTTCATCTTGTTCACTTTTATGGTTTAATGTAATATTTATCATTACGCCCAAATTACTACTGGTATCATAGGATTTACCAAGCGCCCGACAAATTCTTGGATTCATAATAAGTTTAATTGCTTCTTTTATAGGGACATCGGGTGGCTTTTCTCTTGATATTCTACTGGGGAACTTTTCGCAAAGTAATAACCAAATCTAACGAAAATAATAAAAATTATCTATCTAACTTTTACAAAAAAAATTAATGAAACCTACGGAAAGTTGTCTTATATAAAAAAGTGTCGGCAAACTAATTGCAGTTACCACTTTGTCGCATTGAAATTTATTAATTTCCGGACTTTTTGAAATGCTATCAATTACGGAATCCAAAAAGGAGTTAGAAAAAACATCAAAGCATACTGAACAAATATTGGGTTTGAATTTCTTTATATTTGATCCAATTGTTCCTGAGCTTTCAATTTTAAAAACAACTCCAAGCTAAAAATATATGATGATACAAAATTTGTTGTAAGAATTACATTTTGTTATCAACTTACATCTTTGAAAGTTCTTTCTATTTGTTCATATTCATCTCCACGTGCTTTTAAATAGCGCAAACAACAAATATTACAACAATTCAAAGTTTTTAGAAAATCATAAATTTCTTGATTTGTCATTTTTTGAAAAATATCTTAGAAAAAATACTTGAATTCAGCTTAATTGCTTGATTTTAGTTTAATTTTTACCTTTAATTTAATAATACTAAAAACTCTTTTTCTAATTAAACATAATTAGAGTAAAATAAATAATATAAGTATGTACAATTTAATATACATATGTATGTAAAATTTTATAGCCGTTTGACGTTTTCGATATTACACGTATTCTTATAGGATCAATACAGGACCCTTTTTAAAATCATAAATCTTTCACAACATCAACTTTTTTGAAATTTTTAATAAACAAAGTTAAAATTCAATCTGTTTACTTAACTACTGCTTACATTCTTAAAGTTTTGTTTTATCAAAACATTAAAAGATTGATTAAAAAAACCCTTCAGGCTTTGTTCATTTTTTAGATTTCAATAAATGCTACACTCCAAGAAAAAAAAATAGTGCTTGTTTTTCCAAGTGTTTACTTGATTTTGGTGTATTTTTGCAAATTTGAGAAAACGTACATTTGATATTAACGAGTTTGCTAATTTTTTATTATAGGTCTCCCAAAATGCATACTTCTTTATGATTCTACTAATATGTATGTATATTTTTTAAGTGTACACTATATAAATTAAATTTATATGCTTCACAATTCATCAAAATTACTTTTATATTAAAAGTCCATATAATTCTTTTAAGGTATCTGAGTGATTTTAGTTTTATTAGGAAATATTTTCAGAAAACTCTAATTTCACTGTGTTTGAATAACAGCTAATTTCATTCTAGCTACAAAAAGTCAAGAAACCGACTTAAGAAACTTTTAATTAAACTAACTTAAAAACGTTTAACTTCTAAGAGTTTCTTAAACGTTTAAGAAATTAAATGTTTTAACTAAATAAACCGAAAATTAAAAATTTTAATTTTCGGTTTATTTAGTTAAAACTTACATGTCAATATAACTTTTTTTATAATTTGACATTCAAAGAAAAATTGTTTACATACACAGTAATTTCCTTTTTTTATATTCATGAGCTGAAACCATTTCGAAACTCAAGGTGCGTTTCTACTATGTCAGCTTGAAAGCCCGAAGATAATGTTTGGCATCATATTTCAAATTTTTGATTGACTTGAAAGAAACCGGTTCAAGTGAAATTATACAGACATAAAGTAAACTCTCAGTACCCCTGAATTTGCCATATAAACGGGGTAAGTATTTGTTATTTTATCTTAGCCTGATAAAAATCGTATGTGTAAATTCTGTTTAAAATCAGATTTTGTTTGACGTAAATAATACAAATATCCTCAAATTTACTGTCAGATTTATTAAAAGTAAAATGACGACAATTGAGATCATTGACAACTCACCATTTGACCATGTATTTCGAAATTAATAAAAAAAATTATTGAATTTTGACAAAAGTTGAGTTTGATCCTCTGATGAATTCATTCTGATATATCGTCAGATTTCGTCGCACATTTAACCTTAGATTATGTAAACGGCCGTAGTTTTCAATATTCAAATTTTTCATTTTTAATCTAAGCTCGTAATATCCCTGTTATGGATAATCAATCTATATAACTAGCTACAAAACATTCAATTTTGATTTTGCTACTATTTTTAACTAAATAAATCATCATAAATTTTAACTTTAAACTTTTATGACATCACTTTGAAAACTTTAATGTCATAAAACTTTTCTGACGCCAAATGAAAGTGAAAATAAACATACAATACATATGTGACAAACTTCTTCAATAAAGAATACATATTCTATTTTTTAACAACTGATTGATAAATTAATAAATATTTTGAAATGGAAAATTTTGATTGGCCATGGGAATACAATTTCCCACCTTTTTTTACGTAAGATACAAAACTGATACAAAAAAAATATTTAATATCCGTACATTTTAGTTTACAGCCACACGCTGAAACCAAAGATCAACAGATATCAGTATGGTCAAATTTGATACTGAAATATCATAAACATAAAAATCAATCACAATTAAACGTAAACGATGATAATGAGCTTTTCCATAATGAGAAACTAAACCGAAAGTTAAAAATTGACGCACGCCAAGTGATATTAGAAACGCTTACTAAAACTGGACACGCTGCACCTCTAGACAAGAAAAAAGATCAATGGGAAATTTATTGGCATACGTTAGATGAATGGGCTAATATAATATATAATTGGGCTGTTGAAACAGGACAAACAAACAGTGTTTGTACTTTGTACGAAATTTCAAACGGTGATAATACAACAGATCAAAAATTTCATGGTCTTGATGAAGGTGTGATACTAAAGGCATTAAAATGTTTAGAAGATAAGGGAAAATGTGAATTAATACTGTTTGACGATAATCAAGGAGTAAAATTTTTTTAATGGAAGTTTGAATTTATAAATTGTTTTGTACATTAAAAAAGTTCCAATTGCCATATTTATTATTTTCAGCTTTTATTGTAGAATACAATAAAAAACGTCAACTTTATAAGTATAACTCGAAATCAATTCTGTTGCTGTTATAAAATTTTTGATCTTCAATATTATATTTGCGCACAAAAACCCCATTAGGAAAGTAGTTTTCATCAACCCATTTTTGCATTTGTTCGGTTGTAAAAGGACCGTGAATTTGCTCATCATCTTGTTTCCATTTATACTCCCATTGCAATTTTGGTAATTCAGATAAATTCTCGTCGGAATTTTTATTAGAATCATTTGTTTCATTTTTATTTGAAGTTTCATTTAATTGTAATTTTGTTTTTTCTTTTTGATCAAAATCTTCAGCATACATGTCAAGATCGTTGCCTTCAATTTTCGAAGATTTTCCGATTTTCGATTTACTTTTATTAATCTTTCTTTCGATCATTTCATATGTTTCTTGATAAACATCCATATTTCCCAGATTTGTTAATATATTATTAGCCAATTCAGTTAATTTTGTGATGGCCTGTCCCTCTGTATCTACCATACCCGTTTTCTTTCTGCGCCATCTTTCCACTGATGAAAATTTCTGCTTATTCTTACCCAATCTTTGCAAAGTTTTTGCTAAGGTTTCTCCAGGTTTCATATACTCCAAAATTTCTTTATACGTAGATATTTCATTAAAAACCTTAATAGGTCCTTTAGAATTTCCATTTTCATCATCATCACTCGAATCAGCGAGTCCCGTGTTAGTTTTTTCAATATATTTTTTATCAGTTTTTACCTAAAAATATATAAAGGCCGTAGTTTAGCATTTACAAGCTATTTTGAGATCTTTATAAAAATTATGTATTAGCCTTTATCCAGTCAATATTATCGAGCCAATTATCTCTAATTTCTTTATCTTTCTTCCACTGAAAATGACCTTCTCGATCAAAATGGCCCTCTTCCAGTTCTTCTTTCATATTAAATGGTGTTATTTTTGTTTCATCTCTGATACTGGAAATTCCATCCTCTTCACCTTCAATATCATCTTCGTGCATAACATTGTACCTTTAAAAGAAAAATGAATTAATTTCTACTTTAAAATCATAAGATCGCATAGCAAATTATGTACATCACCGTACCTACATGCCCTAAATCTGAATATATCACTTAATCTATTCTTAAATTTCTTAAATAAATCTTATGTCCATAATTCAAATTTATTTCATTTATAAATGTTATTAATAAGTTCTAGTGAAATTTTCTAAAACAAAAGCTCAAAATGATAAAGATTCAATATATGTACATAATAAAAAAAAAATAAATTTTATGAAAAGAATATGAACAGTCCTATATTATTCATTGTAAAATCTATAAAGCTTTCAAAAATATATATGATTGAGTTTTTGAAAAGTAATAATTCCTACCTTTCTTCTTCAGCGCCACTATCTTCCTCATCCGAATCCAGGGTGTGCTTTTTCACATAATCTTCATTTTCATTGAAACGGGCTTGTTTTCTATTTGCAGCATCGTAAAAATCTGCGTCTAAATCTTCAAAATTCCGTTTTGATGCCATTATTTATTTCAAAACAAGTTCGAATTCGAAGTACTTTTAGAAATGGAAAGTCAGAAACACTTTTTTTTTTGATAAAATAAATTCTTCACTGATAAATCTGGGCAAAGCTAACGAATTTGTAATACGTTTGTTTTTTTAATGTTTTTATATTCATTTATCTCACTTATAACTGTCAAAGTCATTTATTCAGTTTAGAGAAAATTAAGTTTGACTATAATGAATATATTATGCTATTTAATTTTGTCCCTCAACATGTTGAGAACATACCAAATTTCCAACACGTTGAATTGTTAGAGGTTTAAACTTGGTTGAAGAAAATATTAAAAAATTTTAATTTTTTTTTTAGGCTTTGTATATTGTATAAAACTACGTCTGTAGTTTTGAAAAAAAATTGGATATGTTGACTAGCGTTTTTTTCAACGTGTTAAAGGACCAAGTTGAAAGTGTATGAATAGCATTAGATTTGAACCTGACTAATAGTGCAGTAGTTATAGAATCGGTTCATAACCGATGCACTATTATACAAATTCAGATTTTTTTTTTAAAAACTGAAAGTGGCCCAGCTTTTCATTAAATGCTGATACTAAATTTTATAACATCAGACATTGGTGAACTAACGCAACTTCTGGTAACTAATGTTGCTAAAGGTCCGACGGCTTTTTTTTTTTCAAGCGTCGAGTAATATTGGATGTGATAACTAGTTCGGATAATTAAAAAATTTAAATTTAGTATTATATAAACATGTATCTTACTATCCAGTTTTATAATTAAAAAAAATTTACCCTCCGGTATTAAACATACTTCGCAAAAATAAATTATAAGTGTTAAGAACTTTCAATATTATGTATAATTGTACAATATAAAAGGAATACTATGGCAGCCTTATTGAAGTAAGGCAGCCTTGCGAAGTTGGAAAGACCTATGCTTCCAAGTGGATTATGAAAAATGTAAGAATTAAATATATATCAACAGGCTTAATCTTTTTGAGCAGCATTTACGGGTGATATCTAGAACTTTACTATTAAATTTTTAAAATTTAAATAGATTTTTCAATTATATTTTACTTTAATAAAAAACAGTATTATATATTAAGAAATTATAGAGTTCATCTTCATACTAATTTAACCCAGCATTTACACATACAAGTTACTTGCAAGCAAGTTTGTATAATATTAATTGTCAATTAGTTTTTCGAAATGTCAAATTACTTGCTATTATGACGTAGGCGTTTAGCAAGTTAATTTTTGAAAATGTCTTTGAGAAGAAAACAACTAGCAATATATATAATTGTTTCTAAATTTTAGAAACCATAAGTTTGCTAAGTTTAATTTTTTTAAAAGAAAATTCAAAAATTTTAAATTAAAAAAAAAAAAAAATCAAAACAACAAATTTTTTTTTGTGAATTTCTCAATATGTCAAATTACTTGCTCAAATTACTGGCAACAAAATTTTCTTGCAAGTTGAACTGCAAGTAAACAAGCAAGTAGAAATATTTCAATGTGTTAGTAAAATTTTTGTATGTATTGCAACTTTCTTGCAAGTAACTTGTACGTGTAAATGCTGGGTTAGTATTGTAAGGGTAACGAATTTCGTAAATTTGTTTACATATTATACTGTTTTGAAATTTCAATTAGACGTCAGGCTGACAAATATATTTGACATATTTGTTATATACTACATAATACAATACCACGGCAGATAGGAATGATTTTTTGTAATGTCAAGTACAATACACATGTTTATTTTATTGGTTGATTGTGGTGAGGGTTTTAGGAATTCTTTTAGATCAGTAAAACATAGGAAACATTAAGATTTTTTCTTTTTAAAATGGTAAAAATATTTTTGAACAAGACTTACAAAATTATTAAATAAATTTTTACACGTCTTTTAGGGAAAAGGCAAAAAAGCTTTTATCGATCGTAAGCAAGCCGTAACATTCCACTTAGTCCACAGAAGTCAACATGATCCTCTAATTACTGATGAAACAGCCCCACAGCACGTTTTATTGGAAACTACCTTTAAAAATCAAAAAGACGATCATGCATCAAATCCTATAGAAGATAAAGAAAAAAGAAAAGAACAGCAACGTAAATTTGGGGTTTATTATGACGACGATTACAACTATTTGCAACATCTTAAGGCACCAAGCAATAATACAACAGTATGGGAATATGTTGGAACACCAAATCAACAAAAAATCAAAAAAGAGAAACCAAAATTACAACTTCCCAGTTCAGTTTTTGAAACTGATTTTGAAGAAGATGAAGGTTTGTTAAACAAAGCAGCTCCACGACCTGGTCCAAGACCTGATTGGGATCCAGATATTGTCGCAGCTCTTGATGACGATTTTGATTTTGATGATCCTGAAAACGTAATGGAAGATGATTTTATTGCAAAAGCTATGCAAGGAGACGATGACGAGTATGACGATGAATATGAAGACGAAGACAGTGATGTTAGTTCAGAAAATTTAGGGGATTTTACCGATGAAAGTGATGGTGAACTTGAGAATGAAGGTATGGATAACTTAGCACCGTTACGAAATAATCGCTTTATAGATGAAGAAGTTAAATCTCGCTTCACTGAATATTCCATGTCATCTAGTGTAATAAGACGCAATGAACAACTTAGCTTGCTTGATGATCGCTTTGAAAAATTTTATGAAACTTATGATGATATAGAAATTGGCCCATTAGACACGGAAGATATAGATGGAAAACTTGGTCCTAGAAATAGATTAATCCGACAGTGTCTTCGTGAACTGAAGAGAGGTGAAAAAATTGAAGATTATTCTAAAGAATGGGACAAGGAAAGAGTTGAAAAATATAGAGAAATCCACGAAAATGGTTCTGATGATGAGATCGTTGAGGTTGAAGTGAATGACAAAAAGTCAAAAAAAAGATGGGACTGTGAAAGCATATTATCAACATATTCAAACACATACAATCATCCGAAATTAATAGAAGAGCCAAGAAAATCACGTAAATCTCAAAACAGAGAATCAAAAATAGAAATTGATTCGAAAACTGGAATTCCAATGCACGTGTTAAAGAATGATGACTCACAAATCTTGACCGCAAAAGCTCTTTCCAAATTTGACAATCAAAATGATGCAGAAAATAAACAAGAAATTTCTGGTTCAAAATCTCTGTGTGCAAAATCAATGCTCTCAACGTTGAGTGTATTATCTATTAGACCAAAAGATGAAACTCCGGAAGAAAAACGTGAAAGAAAACGATTATTAAAAGAGTATCGTGCTGAGAGGCGTGTTGAGAAAAAAGCTAATGCCGAGGCCTTCAAAGAGGAAAAGAAAAAGCAAGAACAAACAAAAATTAATAATCAAAATAATATTCAAGGAAATCGAATATTGTAAAAATGAAAATAAAATATCGTTTTAGTTTTTGGAATAAAATTCTATTTTATTCAACATTTTTATTTAAGGAATCGTAATTAAAAATTTAACTTACAAAAATTGTGTAGCTTTTCAGAAAGTCTTGTTATACATTTTAACCGAACTTAAATCTATTAGCTTAAAGAACTCTACGTTTGAATTTAAAAAATTATTTTATGTAACTTGAAGCATGTAAATTCCAAACTTAAAAATAATACTCAATTTGTTCTCTATACCCATAAATTTTTCAATAATGTTAATTTTTTAAAACAGCTGCTTTTTCACAGATTCGTTTTGACTTTGGTTAACTTTTTTAAGATTTATGAAGATCGAAAATGAAGTACATATTAATATATAATATTACGTTTTCTTACAATTCAGAATTTTTCATTATCTGCACTCAAAGATTTCTAAGATTTTTCATTATCTTTACTGGATTCTTTTAACTTGCCCAGTCCTTCGAGATTATGTTCTTGTAAATCTTCCGAATTAAAAATTTTCATAAAATCTGATGGAATTTTATCCAAATTTTCTGTATTCAAACCTAATTTTTTATCCGTTAAAATCGGTTCAATAACATTTGATGATTGCGTGATGTTTGAAGTGTTTTGTGTTTGTGACAACTCAACTATATCATTCATTCTCTTACAATAAGTTATTGGAATCAATCCGGAATGAACAGCATCGACTGTAGCCATTGCCCATCCTGTATTTAAAAGCTTTTGAGACAGCTGAATTTCTTTTGGAGCAATGTATAAGGTTTGGCCAGCTTTTATTGTTAATTCAGCGGCATTGCGGGCTTGGAAATCATAAAGCGCTACAGATTTGATTGGTTTCACCCATCGACGAGGATCTTTAGCTAAAAAACAAAATATTCAATTTGCAACAAATTGTAAACAAAATCTATTGTCTTATTTTGAAAGTTTTAAGTAACATAAAAGATTCTTTCAAGCATATTTTAATAATTTAAATGATTCTGCATAATTCAAAAAATATTGAAATAAATTAGGTCAAAAAAAAAAAGCAAGTACGATTTTTGCGATAAGCATATTTTCAATCAGAAATACAATACTGAACGGGAACTATTTATTTAAAGATAACAGATTTTATTTGATTATGTTATCAAAAAGTATGTATAAGGATTATCATTCTTAAACTTTACTAACATGTATACATTTACGCACAAGTTTTTCTTTTTCCGTAAGATACTATATTACTTACTTTCCTGTAGAACCGATGATGTTAAATTACCCAACAGTTTCATTACAATATATGGTGCTGTAAAAATAAATCCCAAAAATATTACAACTGGCCATGGTGACTGTTTTTTGCCCTTATTTCCTGCATCAATGTTATTTTCAAGTGTTTCATTTTTTGCTGCTTCAAAAGCCTCTTTGAATATTTGTGATGATGGATCTATATTAGAAATTTTCATCCAATATAGCAGTCTAAAAAAATTTATTCCATATTTTAAAATAAGACACACCATATTTTATTATGTACTTTTTGTAAAGCCAACTAAGTCCTCTAAGAATAGCAAAAGTTTGCCAAAATTGGGCAAAAACACCTCTCAAACGTCCAAAATTAGCTGCTACTCCAAGAATAGCATGAAATGAGCTCGTTATGGCATAGAACGTTGAATCTAACATAGCAGCAATATTCGCAACAGCTGATACTAATGACCCAATACTTTCAAATGCAGGCCTGGAATTTTCTTCTGCCAATTGTATGAAGCGACTTTCCGGATCGTATGGATTTAAACATGAATTGGGCACACAACCAAACCCACGACCATAACCCCCATACATCCCACTACCAAACATACCGCTTCCGAAATTCGAATATCCAAATGGGCTCACACCATAGCCACCATAATTATTTCCGTAACCATTATATGAATTTCCATAACTTCCAAAACCGGAAGAATATGATCCAAAATTCATTGTTTCCGACACATTTAGTGGTGGTGGTAATGAAGGTGGCTCCGTATTACTGGATGGATACACATTTCCCAATGGTGTCCGCATTATATTTGACGGAAATGATGGCTCCAACAATGGCGCTCGATAATTCGTTGGGTTATCCATCTTGTTTTATATTTTGCTTCGTCGTTTACAAAACTATTTTTAATGTTTTATTTAACAACACAAAATAAAAGATACTAAGTTGAGTTTTGAAGCTTCTATAGAAACCAAAGTTCAATTTTTATTAATTATTTTTTCGAGCCCTGAGAGATACCTTAATGATAAAAAAAAAGTAGTTATCACTCAAAAAAAAATAAATACGTATTTGTATTTAACAGCTGATAAACTTTCATTTTTATTTCAGTTTTTCTTAAATAATTAAACCAGTATTGCCAAATCGTGTGAAATTTCCAATAATATGAATTATGAAGTATGTATATTAATTTAATTAAAACAATATAATATAACCAAAAAATAAATGTGCGATTATATAAGAAATATGTAATTTAAAAAAAAAGCGTAAAAATCAACTTAATTCTTCGAGAAAAAAGATTTGCGCTAATTTTATTTTCTTGTAGCGTACATTGAAATTTTAAAAAAATAAACAGAGCCTACAAAGTTTTTTTTTAAATCAATTTATTAATGGTTTATTAACACAAAATTTTAAAAATATGAGCACTAGGAATGTAGAGAAAGATTGAATTTTAACTTTGTCTAATTAAAAATTTGAAAAAGTTTAAAGAAAGTTGATCTTATGAGGGATTTATGATGTTAAAAAGGTTCACTCACAGCTTCCATAAGAACACGTGTAAATTCGCCAGTTGTGAATTGTCGCTCTTAGTCCTGGCCTGTATTTCTGTTGGCATTTGTATATATGAAAAATTTCTTAAAACGAAATTATAGGGAAAAAATTTTTGAACAAAAGTGGTAAATTGAGCAAGAAAGTATTGCCGAAGCTGCCAAAACTGAATCAAATTCATGTACTTGATAAAAAGTAGTTTTATCCGTGCATACATAATCGAGTGAATCGCCTACACTTGGTTCGAGGACGGCCCATGTAAAATGTACAATTGAACTGGAAAATTTTTTCATTCCATTTTCTAATTGAATACCAAGAATGAGAGAAATTGGAAAGGGTACAAAAAAGTGAAAAGTGGCCCTATTTTTGAAAAAGATTGTTTGCACGCATTTGTACTGATCTTTGACGGCACGCATTAGTACTGTGAGCAGCGCTGTAAAAGTGAAGGTTTATCTTAAAAAGAAGGGTTTTCGGAGATATTTTTTGTGCCAAACTCCGAAATAAGATTTTTACAATTTCTAAATTTTACATATAAAAATATCTTCAAAATTCAGGTGTTTTAATGCAACTGAAGTTTTTCAGAATTGGAATTTTTTACACTTTTTTCCATATTTTCCAAAGTTTACAAGAAAAAATTTTGATCAAAAAGCCGATTTAGTATGACTGAAAATTTTTGATATTCGCTGCAATTAATTTCATATCAATAATCGACTTGGTGCGTCAATTAAGTTCGCATACGGCTCATAACTAATCATGTCATTGTCCATATCATTGTTTTTTGTTTTTGGTGTTTACTTTGGTTCGAATTAAAATTGATATTTTGGTTTCCTGAAATCCTTCTTTTTTTAATTTAACTTTAATTGAAGATCTAAAGGAACAACGTTTATATTTTTTTATGGAAACATTACATTTTACATGAATCACGCTGAACACCGGCGACACGTTTAAATGGATTTTAAATTAGTTGGATTCCCTTAGCAATAATCTAAGCTGAATCTATTTTGAAAACATAAGGAATGTTCAAATATACAAAAACCTTAAGAAAATTACCAAAGTTTGTTAAAACTTTGCAGTGCATATAAGATACCTAGCTCAAATAATTTTTTATAAATTTTAAAATATTTTAATAAAATATTTAGCTAAATAGCTAGATACATACAATTATTGAAAATTACAAACGAGGTTCAATTTCTGATATGATTTAAGAACTATTACAAAAACTAACTGATTCTACTTGGCTTAATTTAACATGTTACAGACGCATTGAGAATTTTTCGCTGTCAAGTATTTAACTTTACCCAATTTTCATACAATTGACTCGCTATTTTAGAAATTTCTTCGCTTGCTTCGCAATAACTTATAATATTTTTTGATATAAATTCTTCTCCATAGAGAGATCCGACTAGCGAACCTGCCATACTTGCAATCGTGTCGGTATCACCACCCAAATGAATTGCATATTCAATTGTTCTTCTAATCACATTTTTAGTCTAGAAGCAAAATCTTCACTAAACAGTTGTTTTAAATAAATGTATATTATATTAATATAAAAACCTTTGTTGAGTACATACTTCAATTTTTTTAATTGTGTTCTGCGCTCTTAGAAAACAATAAATTGCTGTTGGAACCGAAAACAAGGCCTCTGCACTATTTCCCAATTTATTTATAACCATCTCGTCTGACGGTTCCCGCTTCAATAATTCTTCGATTTTTAATATTTGCTTTACGTATTCATCGCTAGGGTCATCCATATCGATTCCTTCGTTCTCTATCTTCTGCATTTCATATTTTAAGTAAGTCAAAAAATTTTGTTCGTTGAATTCATCCGGTTTAATTTTTAGGCAGTAGTTTATAGCTAAAGCAAGTAATATTGCCCCATTTATAGCTAAATAATGAGTATGTGTGATAACAGCCGAATCTTTTACCAACTTTATAAGGTTTTCTACAGGTTGGTTAAAACAAAATAAAGCAGCTGGCGCAACGCGCATCGCGGCGCCGTTCCCATATGAACCATGTCCACTGAATTGCTCTTTTGCTGGGAGTAAGGGATCTTCAAATTTTGAACTTCTCAACTTAATAAATACCTTAGGTATGCCGCCACCAAATCCACGATTAGTATTTGAAAAATAAGATTTACAAAATTGTTTCGCTAATTCTTTATGTGGTAGTTTGCCGTTTTTAATTAAACATGTTGCCAAAGCTATACTCAATGCTGTATCATCTGTGTACGGCTTTAAAACTTCAAAAATTATTTTTTGAAAATCTTTTTCTATTTATTAATTAAAATTTTACCTTTGACCGATTTAGCTTCAAGTTCATCTAAAGATTTTTGCAATTGATACTTTTGGGGTTTGTCTAACTTTTCACCTTCGTAAGGAGCTCCGCAACAATCTCCCATCAGGCCACCCTGAAGGCAGCCGCGAAATTTAGAAAGCAAAGTCGCTGAACCCAAAATTTTGTTCATACTTATTATTTTTAAATATGAATTATAGATATATTTTGCACTTAAATTTTGTATTTTTTTTAAACGATGAAGATTGTTGACATTACCAAAAAATCCGGATTTTTAACAGAGAAAACAAATGCATATTCTTAAGAGCGCAATGTCATTTAAAATTTACATTTAAAAAACAATAAATTTACTAGTTCAACAGACTGACAGTAGAGTAAAAAAATTTATAATATGGGAACTCAGATGTTTTTGACAATATATCATTTTAGCAAAATAAGTTAAAATTTGAAATGAGCCGCTAGAAAAGATTCCTTAAAAGAATAATATAAGAACGAAATTGATGTTGAAATAAAACTAATTATTTATGAAAATTTTAGTTCATATGTATGTATGTAGTACGTAATATTTAATTATGTAAAAGGACTTTTTAACGCAGCACTTCATATTTATATTCCAAATATTTCATATTTTTCAAATGTTTAGTTTAGAATTACATATTTTGATGATTAATTTTAGTTATGTTTTTTCTTTTTTTAATTTTTATTTTCACAAAACACTTTATTCATCATAAATATATCAGTAATGGAAATGAGAAAAAAAAATTTTATTTGCATAAAACACTTAATTATCTTATTCATCACCAGAACAAAAACTATTTTTTATCGTCATAAGAATACAAAATCAAAAGAATACAAATCAAGAGGCGGAAAATTTCAATATTCTGGGAGAAACAACATATGAGAACTCAGCCGTTTTTCAATTTTGAGTGCAAATATATTTCGCAACGGCAGTTACTCAGTTTCAGTTTTATGCCATTGCTTCTGTCTTCCTTTTTGAGCAGGCCAAATATTTTTGGACGTCATCATTCTTTTGACATCTTAACTACAGGATGGCGCAAAAAGAACGATATGTTTTGAATTCAATGAACGATCTGAACGATACTTTTTTATTAATTAAATTTTTTTTTTATTTCAGAATCTTGTAAACAAGGGTTGGCAAATTTATAATGGAGCAGTACACAATGCAGCAACAAACAAAGATCATAGAATTTTACTATCCAAATCACAGGTCAGTTACTTTAACTCGGCGAGCATATCGGCGATATTTCAATGTGCGGAAGACAAGTAGACGTTCGACACATCTGGGACTATCACGAAGATCCCTTCAGAGAATTTTGGCCTCAATACGCATGTTCCCATATAAAATTCAGCTTGTGCAAGAGTTGAAGCCGGTAGACTATCAACAAAGGCTTGATTATGTCATTTCTTTCCAACAAAAAGCAGAAGAAAATCCAAATTTCATACACAATTTGATAATGAGCGATGAAGCTCACTTCCAATCAAATGGTTTTGTTAATAAGCAAAACTGCAGAATATGGGCGACGGAGAACCCACGAGCAGTACATCAGCGCCAATTACACCCACTTAAAAATACTGTTTGGTGCGGTATATCGTCCGAAAGGATAATTGGCTCATATTTCTTTGCAGATGGACATGGCGACGCAATTACCGTTAATGGCGCTCTGTATAGAACTATGCTGGAAAACTTTTTGAGGCCAGCAGTGCAAAACCATCCACAGTTGTGGTTTCAGCAAAATGGAGCCACTGCTCATACTGCAAGGGAGACAATGGTTATTTTACGGGACATTTTTGGTGATCGCATTATTTCGCGCAGAAGTGTTTTTAGTTGGCCTCCGCGTTCACCAGATTTAACAGCACCAGACTGTTTTCTTTGAGGTTATTTAAAAGAAAAGGTGTACGTAAATTATCCACAGACCCTAAACGAGCTAAAAAACTGATGGAAAATGTGCTGGAAAGAGCACGAATTTGCAAAGCAGCTAATAGACTCCACTTGCCGGATATAATTTTTCATATTTAAACCAAAAAAATTTGCCATTTGTATATTTGTATTTACCAAAAAAAAAATTAATATTTTCATTTAAATAAAAAAGTTATCAAGAATTCCAACCACATCGTTCTTTTTGCGCCACCCTGTACATGACAAAAACTTATTAACGGTTTAAAAATTTGCATAACACCGTAATTTCACATAATACATATATACATAATCATGCGTATTCTTATAAAAAAACTCAGTTATCATACGGAATGTAACGCTTTCAGTTTCTGCATCAAACTATACTATACAAAAATATGTATGATCAAATTGTATGTACCGGAAAACTTTTAAAAAAGCTTTAAATAGTACAATGGTTTAATATACAAAATATAACTACATACATACATTTATTTTTAAGTTGGAAATACTACAAGTTTTATATATGTTTTATTAATGAGTAAAAGTTGAAAAAAAAAAACAAACAGTCATAAGCTTCTTGAGCACAAAAAAATAACACCTTTATTATATTTTTCTCATTTTATTTTAAGTTTTTATATAAAATTTAATTTAATTTTATCAAAACATTGTTCGACAATTCATTAAATTTTTAAGTTTTAAAGAATACGGGTGGTTTTAACAATATTTCCTATAAATTTTAAAGCAAACACATAAATTTTTTTAATCAACTTTTAAATAGCAGACAATGGTATAAAATAGATTTTTTTGTTGAATTTTATGATCTTTTTGTAAATTCCTTAGTATTTATACTTTATGTGGTAAACGAATTTATAATATGCACATTTATTAAAAGTGATATATTTAAGGGCGATAATTTAAAAATTTAAAGTAATTTAACAAAATTATTTTATTAATCTCAAAAAAGAATTACACTTAAGGGATATGCATATTATGTATATAATAAAAGTACATTTAATTAATAAGGCATCACGTAACAATAACTTTAAAAGTTTGCATTGTGTTATAGAATGTAAAAAATACTTATTATAAATAAGTAATTTTTAATAAAATAATTTCTATTTTACCGAATAATTAACTTTTTTCTTCTACACATGATAAACAATAAATACTTACAGATAAAAATTTTTGAAAGGACCTTTTGTATTTGTCTAACTGTAATAGTAGGAAATACTTGCTCAACAATAATAATATAATTAAGTTTTTTAATTAAAGTTAAATAAATAAGGTAAAAATATATAAAATAATACAAAACATAAAGAATTTTATCTAACTGTATATATAAGTTGATAATAATTATAATGTTATGATAATATACTTATTATTTAAACAATTAAACAAAAATTATAAAATTGAAAGTGAAACTTTGAAAAAGTATTTTTATATAAATACTAAAAAGCGAAGAAATTTTTTTTTAATTGTGATATTCAATTTGTAAGATTAAAACTTGTCGTCTTTTTGTCTACTACAACAATATTTTAATTTCTTTATTTGGAAAACTTACAATTTATATAAAATACAAGTACAAGGTAATTAAAATTGCAAAATTATATTTTAAATATTACATACTAAATAAATTTTATTCATTATTTATATTGTTATAAAATGATTATTTAAATAGTTTAGAATAATTAACAAACATTTATTATTGTTTTACTTACTACATAGCTTAAGAATTATAAGGAATATAATTAATAATATAGCACAATTTTATATTTTAAATCGTGTAAGTCATTTAATAAGATTTTTTATGCATTTTTTTTAATTACAAATTTATATATTTTCATTGTAATTTCTTTTAAGTTGGTTTTATCCCGCGAGAGTACGACATACGAGTATATATATATGAATGGAAATGCATATAATAATATATATGACATGTTTAAGTATTTTAATAATCATTAAAGTATATTTTAAAGTTATTTTAAAATAACTTTTATTAATAAATTATATACAAACAGTAGAAGGAAAAGAATTTTTTTTTATATTATAATTGAAATATATGTTTGTATGTAGGTAGAGTCTTAATTTTTTTTATTTTAAAATTAAAATTAAAGTTGACGTTATTTTAATCTATTACACGTATATAAGTCTAGAAAAACAAAATATGATTAATTTATATAATTTCAAAAGTTTTGTAAAATGTAGTTCATAAAAATAATAATAGAATTTGTATTGTGCTATAAACAATAATTTTTAAACAAAATTTTATATATTCGATCTACCCAAGCAATGTAAATAATAATTAATTGAAATTTAAAATAATTTTGATTTTTTTGGAACTATTAGTTTTTTATTAATGTAAGAAAAGTGATATAAATAAATATTTTCAATTTGTTTGCAGCACTCATACTTAGTTCATGCAATATATTCATGTATAGGTTTATATACACATAGTTTATTATATTGTGTATATTGTTTTTATGTAGGTATTACGAATTCCTCAAATAAGTAGTATATAGTATAGTGATAGTTAATTTTTATATATTTCTGATTTGATAATAATATTATTTACAAAAATTTATTCATATACGGTTCAGTTATAAAAGGTCGTTCAATGTAGTTAATGAAACTTTGTAATTTTCATTAATAAAAAAATTATGTACAATTGACAAAAATGAAAATTATCAACAAATTATTTGTTTATTTTCAAAAAAGAATAAGATGAAAATTATATTTTAATAATATTGGGTCAAACCAATGGTTTGTAATGTAGCCCTTTTTCATTCAACAAGTGAAAATATTTCTTTAAAATCTATGTATTTACTACATTATTAAAATTACTTTCATTTATATACGAATATATTTTAAAGATTGCATACATTTAGGTGGAGCAGTGTGAGAGCTATTAACATATTGCTCGTATTTAAGCGTTAATTGCGTGAGTTAAGAAGAATAATTATATTTTTTAATGGCATGATCTTTACTGATAAATTTCAGCGTTAATAGAAATTTGCAATTGTTTGCAGCTTCGGAAATATAGGGTGGCAAAAATTCAAATTTTACAAATTTCAAAAGTCGATAACTTGAGAGAGAGGGTGTGGAGGTGGAAAAAAATTTTCGTCTATCAAAATGGACTATTTATTAATGTCTAAAGGCTGCTAAAATTTAATGAGGTCTAGAAGAAAACAATATCAAAAATTTGGAGAAAACATATTTTAGATATCGGCAAATTTTAACGATCATTTTGTTTTTTTAAAGTTCAAATATGGTATGTCTCGGTAGAAGAAGCCAGCCACTACCTTTTTGCTTTTGCAAAATTTAAAAAATGTTTATGGTTTCGCTGCAATATATAATTAGAAAATGGTATTTCTGACTTTTAGAGGAGGGGAGATAGGTATAAAATTTCTTCTACGGAAATCAGTTTCTAGTAAAGATCTACTTATATACTTTCTAATTTCCTACGCATAAGTTTACAGAGGGAATATGTAAACATATCCACGGACGGATGGACAGAGGGAAACTAATAAGTTCTGCTTATTTTCAAAAATTTTTTGAAAAGGTTATAAAATATATTTTTGAATTAATATATGTTAAACTAGTGGAATGGGTGACTTCCTTGCTGCGTGTGGTTGTTTTAATTTCTTTTGTGACATTATTTGCCATTTGACGCCTTTTATAATTATTAATATACGAGTACGTGTATCCAAAAAATATTAATTAAGAGTGTACAGACAGAATTCAGTTTCAAAACTCCCCGTCAAAAATTCTTAATCCCTTGTTTGTATTGATCATCAGAATCGGCTATATATACTTTGTAAAACAAATGTAAAGGTATATAACTTGTAATTTTTAGAGCGAAATGCGCAAAATATGAAAAAGGGGACTTACTTATATGAAAAAAAAGTGGCAACGATTGATTGATTAATTCAAATAAAAAATTATCTATGTGCAAAATTTAGTAATTTTGATGGCATTCTGTACTTAGAAACCAAATGCTTAAAAAATCACCCATTATGAACATTAAGTAGTTAACAAAGTTTATGAAGGGAGTAAAATAAAAAATTTCTATTAAATTTAAATATAACATACAAGTACCTTAATATAAATATGCAATATACAAAATATAAAAATTCAACCTGATGTTTTGTTTACAACATCAATCTTTAAATGCACATAATTTAATTTATAGCTATGTATACCCGTGTATATCATATAGAGATGTATTTTTTCAAATTTATTAATTAAATTAAAAGAATATATATAGCAATTAATTTTATTTGAAATTGTTAAAAATGTGCCTTTATCAGTTTCACTTTTTCTATGTCTGTCTATTAACACCGTTCAATATATAAAGCTGAAATTTCGTATACTGCGACAATTCATTTTATTCACCACGTTAATTATATAATAAATTAAAACAGGTAGCGGCTTAATTATTCCTACATACCTTCATTAGCCACGGTTTTGATAAAAAAAATTTTTTTTTTATTTAAAAATTATACTTTCATCTGAAAAAATTTTTTAAGAACAATTATCAATACGTTTTTTCAAAATTTAAAAGGAGAAGGCGGGGTCATAAATTTCAAATCGAAGCCAAACGGCAGCCCTGATCCTCAAATATTATATACAAATATATGATAGTTACTCACTTTCTTTCAACTTGACGAGTAAAATAGCCAGATAGACGATGATAAAAATTTTTTCATTTACAATTTGAAAATTTTTCATTAAATAATTTTCGTATAAAATAATTTCGTATGTCGATTGCTAAATATGCTTTAGTAAATTTTCTCTTAAAATTCAACATAAGATGTGACGTAGCTACACGTATGTATGTATTTTGCTTACTAGATTATAGTCAATTAACTATAAGTGATGAAATCTTTAATATTTTATGCATTTTGCGCCATTGATACACAATTACGATCAAATGTTTAGCCGATAATATTTTCTTTTTTTGATGCAAGAAATCAAATATTTTTTTATTTGCCGTTCCAATTTATGTTACTCATACTTAGAATATTGAAATTTTGTTATGGATTTCAAATCATTTCATTATATATGAAATGTAAATAAAAAGTTATGAATTCTTATTGTCATATAGCGATTTGTGGTTTTAGCATTGTATATATATAATTACTTATAGCATTTATAATGCTATACATGGGACAATGTAGCTACACAGTGTAAATTACATATTTTGATATACATATTTACATGTTGCAAGTGTTATTATGGAATGTATATAAAATCTCATTCAATGAACATATCTTATATGATACGGTTATATATAATTTTTGCTCTTGACAATTTTTCTTTCAATACGTCATAAACTCTATTATTATGCAGTTCAGATATACTCCACATATAGAGTATATTGGTATACGTAAATTTGTAATAAATTGATTATGTTATGAAATTTTTAATAATAATAGTTTTAATACACCTAAGTAATATATGTTATATAAGTCCCTATAGATGTTTATGTATATACTTAAATATTATTTATAATAGTATAACATTATTATAACTATGCGTTGATTGCTTGACGATTATTATGATTGCAGCCAAGTATGATTTATAAAAAATTGTTTGCTAAATTAACCAACTAAACCAGTCAGTAATTAAACTGATCAAGCTTTTTTTTAAGAATGGTAAACTTTTGGTTATATACTTTTCATATTTTTTTCGCGAATAAATTTGTGATAATGTGTAATATGTATACCGTTAAAGGGTTAATTTTTTTTTGTGTAAAAACACAAGAAAAATTTGGAAGTTTTTTTCGGGTTTTAAATTGCTTTTCTTTAATTTTTAACTTCGAATTGGCGAAATTAACAAAATGAATTTTTTTTTTTAAATGTTGATGAAATTAACTTCCTTGTCAGTTTACAATCAAAATCTAGAGGAGAGCAAGTGATTACATAATATCTTCAACTAGCATTTAAATATGGTAATAGTGAGGTAATAGAGATAAATTACAGAAATTAAAGATTCATAGGAGCGAAATTTCAAAAATACAATTTGGTAAGCAATTTTCTCATCACAAGTTATCAATTAAAAATTGTGTTTTTTTTTTAAATATCAAAATTTCGATTTTATTCGACAATAAAATAAAGAAATAAATAGTTATAAGCACTTGACATATCTTCTAATTTAAACTTTATAAAAACTGTTTTAAAACAAAAGAAAAAGAAAAAGAAAATCTTGTATATTTCTCAAGGAAATCCAGGGCCATTGTTTATTGTTTTAGGAATTTTTTTTGGAATTTTATTTTAATTTTTAATGTTTAATTATGTTAAATTTTTTTTGTGTTTGTAAGGGAAGTAATATAATTGTAATATTTTCTATTATGTGTGGAAAAATGTTAAAAATTTAAAAATAACTTGTTTTCAAATATTTTGTGAAAAAGTGACCGATTTCCTTTTGAAAGTGATCCATTGAAACAATATTATATACGTACATCCATACATTAAATACACAATTCAAATATTATTTTAAATACAATTCATATTCTTAATATAATAAAGTAATTTATTTACTTTTATTATGATAATATGTAAAAAAAATATTATCTCATCTCTAAATTTTTCTAATATAATAATGATAAACAATATAATTTTATACTAATTAAGATAATTAAATGTTTACAAACACTACATTTTTTATTTATGAAATATTGTCCATAATACATAAATATACATACTACTATGACATAATACGAGTATATACGGAATACTTGTATTTTATGAGTATACAGGCAATGTTAATGTAATCATTCGTTAAAAATTTATAATTGATTTTTTTGATATTTTGATATTATAATTTTTGATATTTCAAAAATCCGATATGACAGTGAGGACAAGGGAAATATCTTTAAATAAATATCGATATATCATTTAGTGTTTTCAAAAATTTAAAGAAACAATTAAGTAATTATGTATATTTTCCTCCATTAACTTTCAAAACATGAATATTAAGTTAGTTTTTATATGATTGTCTAGAACAGTAAAAGAATTCAAACTGTAAGTTTGATGATTCAAACGGTAAGTTTAAGAAACTCAGGGAAGTAGTTCTTAAAAAATGAAGGTCTTGATCATAATACTGTAATCGCTTTATAATGCTGCATAGGTATGTACCACAAATGTTTAAAATCAAAACATTTATATGGTATGGGCATAGAAAATTATATAAATTGTAATTGACTAAAATAGGAATATTAATTTAATTCAATATATGCTTATCTTAACCAAATCATATTTATAATCAATCAGTTCAAGCATTTTAAAAATGATATATAAATATAAATAGATGGTAATTGTTGTTATAATTCATTGCATGATATCGGTTGACACTCAAAATAAAAACAAATATAAAATGAACAAATTTACACTTAAGAATTAAAAAAGATGAAAATCATTATCGCTTAAAAACATTTATAAAAAATACTTTTTTTTCAATCGCCAATTATTGTGTTAACTTAAAATTATTCCATATCGGTCAATTTAAAATGAGACATGATAAGATGTTAATACATTTTTCAATGTAAATGTTTTGATTTTTTGTTAACTTTGAATTAAGATATAAAAATATTTAAAAAAAACATAGTTTTGTAATCACAACATTTTAAAAATAAAGATAATATTATCGTGTTTAAGATTTTACTGCAGCACATACATATATACATATATGATCGTTGATTATTCGGTAATTCAGTAAGTTATCCATTAATACTAGCTAAGCATATAAATATTTGATTTACAGTCTATAATTTTCAATCATGTACAATTTTTTTGGAAAGATTAAGATATCTTGAACTCTTGAATTATTCTGTTTTACTAAAGGTGATACAGTTAACACCATGATAATGAACAATGAAAATCTCATAAATTTTGTTTGTAAATTAAAAAAATCAGATATTGTCTCTTCTATTTGTCAAAATCGGATTTGATCTCAGTTTGTTTTTATTTTTATCATTTTTCTGTTCCAAACATTTGCTTTTGTTTAACTTTATCTTAATATGTCATTTAATTTTTAGTATAATAGTTGAGTATTTTATAAAATTTCTACTGAAATATTGATAGAAATTCATTTAATTTGATATTATGTGAAATAGTTACAAATTTAGTTGCCACTTTATGTTTTTTTTTCGTGACTATGGATGGCATTGAAATTTTATAAAATTTAACACGGTTAAATTGATGTAATATTTTCAACCAATATGTATATGCATACATTTTTATGATATGTGTTGTAAAATATGCTGAATAACAAATTTTCATGAAAATAAGCTTTTACAATTTAACATAAGTTATAAGTAGATACATATAGACATATTAAGTATAAAATTTTCTAAAGTATGCTTATTTATGGAAATGCAAATAAATTACATACTTAATACATAAATTTTACATAATGTACATAATATTATTAATCTGTATTTTTGCCGATAAAATTGTTTATGAAAAATTATTATTCCACTTTTTGAGTTGCAATTAGCACGTTCGGTATGTAAAATTTAAAATTCCTAATCATTATGGACTTCAAATGTGATTCATTAAAATTTTCTATAATCTTTAAAGTTACACAAAAATGAAATAAAAAATTAATATAAAATTAAAAATATTTGAATATATAAAAATAAGAAAAACGGAATCGAAAAATAATTGCAATTTATTGTTTATTATGAATTAAACCAAAAACATAGACAGTAAATTACTGTGAACTTCTAAAATCTTTAATTGAATAAAATAACTTTATTAGGAAGATTCTAAAAATTAAATAAATTAAATATCTTTTTATAATTTACATATGTATTTCACATAGAATCACGTACCGATTATTAAATTTTTTATTAAATTTTATAATTATGTTATTTATTTGTCGTAGTTTACTTAGTAATCAAATTGAATGCACAAAAATGCATAAGGATGTTATATAAATATATGTATGTATGTCCATACAAGAAATCTGAATTCCAAATTACAAATGACAAATTCGAAATTATTAATAATGAAAAAATAAAAGTTTTTTTTTCAATCAGTTTAACTAATTGAATATTCTAATTATATATGTATGGATGTATTTAAAGAGAACTCAATTTTATTTAAACTTACTTTAAGTACGATCAACTTTCTTTACTTCCTTCCGTCGACGAATAATTTTAAAGAATTTGCGATTTAATGCGAATGTTAAATTAACCATCTGATGAACAATATAAATGGGAAAACAAATTTATTCGATACGTAAACAATTTTATCAATTTGTTCTTTATTTAGGCTCACGAATTATGTACATATGTATATAATTATATATTTACAATTATATGCATAGCAATTTCCTGATGCGATATATACATACATAGATAAAGTGCATGAAATACTTGAATATTTATACAAATGGATAAGTAATAATTATTATGTTTACAATAAATTATAATATGTTTACATACATATATTAATGAATCGTCTAGCCATTCAAAAGTTTTGGGTCATTGAAATAGTAACATTTTATATAGTAAACAATGTAAACAATAATATGAATGAATGTAAGGTTTTTGACCATTTATACTAAAAAACAATTGATCTGAGATTTATTTAATCGGAAACCTCCCAAAAAAAAGAAGCTAAAATAGTTTCTAAAGAAAATCATTAAAACATTTAAACAAGGTTCAACAAATTAGTTTTTACCATTTGTCCAAGGCGTTTCCAAAAGCTTAAAATTTATTGTAAATTTTAAAATTACAATATCACTTTGAATATTTTTAAACTTAATATTGTTTTTTTTTCAACTTTTTCTCTTTTATAAATTACAGATGATGTCAAGCGCCTACAAGATTATAACTATTTATTTTATATATTTAATATCTGGAATAACTAACAACGTTACTAGTTTTCAAAAGTAATTTACGGATTTTTTTTATATTTGTCGAAAGATTACGAAATTTTTTATTAATATTTGTCTTTTAATTTTTCTGCAGAAATTTTGAATTTTATTGGAATATTCCATCTTTCATGTGCCATAAATATAATATAAATCCAGAAAATATAACAAAACAATTTGGTATTAAAATAAATGAAAATGACAGTTTTCGTGGTGACAAAATAGCAATTTTATATGATCCTGGAAAGTTCCCAGCTATTTTAAAATATGCAAACTCAGAACAACAAGAGTATTTTTATCGTAATAAAGGTGTACCACAGGAAGGAAATTTAACAGTGCATTTAACAGAATTTGAAAATCATATTAATGAATTTATACCTGATAAGAATTTTAGTGGTTTAGCAATAATAGATTTTGAATCATGGAGACCAATATATAGACAAAATTTTGGAACTTTAAAGCCATACAAAGAACTTTCAATTTATTTAGAGAAAAAATTACATCCAAAATGGAGTATGAAAAAATTGGAACATGAGGCGAAAGTTCGTTTTGAAAAAGCTGGAAGAGTTTTTATGGAGGAAACAATTTTATTCGCTAAAAGATTGAGGCCATATGCTAAATGGGGTTATTATGCATTTCCCTACTGTTTTAATGGACGTGATATAAATAATCCTGAATCATGTGCTAATGGTGTTACAGAGGAAAATGATAAGTAAATATTATTGAAGAATTAAAAATGAAATCAAATTTTAATTATCATAATTTAATATTAATTATTTTTCTACACTAAAATTTTCTTAACAGTCTTAAATTTGTTGCAAATTTCAGCATTTCATGGCTTTTCGGTAATTCTGATATAATTTTACCGTCTGTTTATTTGAATGAAGATATCCCAAAATCCAGTCGACTGCCATTAGTCAGAGGACGTGTTAAGGAAGCAACACGATTAGCAAATAAATTTGAAGATGCAGTTTCAAAACCCCTAATATATGTTTATCATAGATATGTTTATACAGATTCTTTCGAATTTTTGCCAGAATTAGAAACATTTGAAATGTTTAGTACGATAAAATCACTTAACGCTGATGGTGTTATTTTATGGGGTTCCTCAAATGATTTAAATTCAAGGTAATAAAAAATTAAATGAATGTATTCTTATTAAAAAACAAGTTTTTATTTCAGGATGAAGTGTGAAAAATTTATTGAATACTTAAAGGAAACTCTTGGTCCCATTACTAGTTCTCTTGAAGGTTCATTCATAGTACATCATTCAAGGTTAACAAGATAATTTCATGACTATAATTAAGATAAAAATAAGTTGTTTCTTATTATCAAATAAAATTGAAATGTGTAATTTGTTTTGCAAACAACAGTATTATTACTTAAATAAAAAATATTTACTGTTCACATAAAGTGCACCATTCAACAATCTCCAAGTTCTTTCAATACTTCCCTACAAAGAAACAAAATACGAATTAAATCCCTCGTTTGAAAGTATATTTGAAAAACTTGCTTTGGCAACTTTTCATTAAGAATTTTTACTGCGCTGTATTTTCTTTTTAAATAAACTGCTTTGGGTGGCTCGAGATCATCATCTGTTGTCTGTTCCGAATTACTTGAACTGTCTTCCATTGAATTACCATCTAAAATTGACTTTTGAAATGAGCTAAAGTTTTTCGAAAATGCAGTTTTTTTTATTTCCCTAACAACCATTGATTTTTTACTACTCTCATTTTCACTCTGATTACTTTGCTCACCGTCCTTTGTATTTGTATTTAACATTTTTTCAATTTTTTCAAGCTGTTTTTCATACTGTTCGGCTATGTTAGAGTACTCAATTTTATTACCTTCATTTTTTTCCTTTTTATTTATTTTTGATTTCATTTCATTATATTTGGTTTCTAATAATTTGAAAGCTACACAAAATCCTTTTTCTTTATCTATTAAATTAGACATTTCTGGATTCAAAAAATTCTTTCTATTGAGCTCAGATTCAACAATAGTAGGATAATTAAATTTCTTACATAAGAAGGGTTCCAAACCGTAAAATATTTCTGAAGCTACAAATCTGAAAAAGTTATATAAGAAGATAATTTCATTATATATGCATATAGTTAATTAATTTTCTATTTAACTATTTACATGAGTAATTTTCCATATATGTATGTATGTACATACCTAAACGCATTTACGCTCAATAAGTGATAGAAAATATAACGAACTTGATCATAATTTTGTTTTTCATCAATCATTGCTATAAATTTCCTCAAATTTACATAAGTATCCATATCTACTTGAATTTTAACAAGAAGTTTCTGCGGTTGTTGGTAATATATACAATACATTAAATACAAGGCTCCAATTTTTTCCATTACCGTAGTAATTGTTGTTTTGTGAAAATAATCTTTGCAATAGCTCATTATATGACGAGTTGTTAATATCATATCAGTGTCAGTTAATTGAATTCTGAAATATGCTTACAGTTCAAATAAAATTTTTTATTAAATATTTGAAGAGTTATTGCTAATTTTGGTAGAATATGCACATATGTAGGTACAAAAACCCTTTGATTGCTTGTAGATACCATTTTCTACGTTTTCGAAGTATACTTACGTATAAATATGATAAAATTTAATTTTTTTGTATTCATTGCAAAAACTACTGAATTCTGAATTGTTTTGTGCTACAAAATTTTGAATAAGCTTAGTACAATCTTTACTAATTGCTTCCACGATTTTACAAGCCATATTTTATAATTTTCACAACTTTTTAAAATTATTAAAAGATTCTTATTAAAATAATAACAAAAGCAATAGACTGTCATTTAATTTTTGTAAACAAACATTTATTTTCTTTTTAAATTTGACAGATTTGTATTAATTTAACGAATACATCTATTGTGAATAGTTTTATTTATAAGCCGTATCTATTTTTAAATTTTTTCAAGTTTTATATCAGACAGACCTCATGTTGTACGTCATCATGCACTCTTGTGTGCTACTGTAATTTTGACACTTGTGAATGAGCGTGAAACAACCTTGATTTCACTGTCAAATGACGTCACACTTCAGCTAATTTTATTTTAAAAGTTTCTGTGAAGTCGTACACATATAACGTTAAATTTCTTTGATAGATTATTATTTAAATTTTACATATTCTAATTATTATGTAAATTTTTAATCAATTCAAAAACATCAACATTAGATTACAAAATGACACACACAAGTCATTCCACTGAATCTGAGAGTTCTACAGATTTACAACATAAAATCCACCAAGTATATGAAGTATGTAAAACAATAATGGTTTTATAATAACCTAAAATCGACCAAAAAATTTTCTCTTTCCAGATTTTTACAAAAACATTTGCTGCATACTCAATGGATCAAGTGTTTCTTTCGTTTAATGGTGGAAAAGATTGTACGGTTTTGTTAGATTTGCTTTATAAGTACTTAAAGACGCAACCTTTAATTCACAATAAAAATATTAGAATAATCTATATACAACCAACAGAACCTTTTGAAGAAGTTGAAGATTTTGTTGATAAATGTACAAAAACTTATAATGTTTTCATTGAAAAAAGACAAGGTAAATTGAAAAATATATTAGAAGAGGTTTGTGAAGATAAAAGTTTAAAAGCAGTCATTATGGGTTGTAGAAGAACGGATCCACATTGCGAAAACCTCGATTATATGCAAGTAAGTGTTTAACTTCTACTTATGTAAATATATATGTATATGCATATTTATTTATATAAGTAATTTTAATATATTTGTGATTAAAGTTTATTTACTCATGATATGAAATTCAAAAAAATATTTATATTGTAATAATAAAATTGTTATTAGTTAAATATAATAATCACTCAACAATCTTCTTGCACAATATAATTTGAGATAGTTTGTGTATTAATGCTATAAATTATTTGTATAACTATTTTATAAAACACTAACAATTTACAGAAAATATTGCTTATATGTAATTATAGCTGACAGACCCAAACTGGCCAATTTTGATGAGAGTTAATCCTTTATTATTTTGGACTTGTGAAGACATATGGAACTACATCTTAACATTTAATGTTCCATTTTGTTCCTTATACAATCATGGATATACTTCGCTTGGAGATCGTTCTAACACTAAACCGAATCCACATTTAAAAATAGTGAACCCTGTGACAGGTGAAATAACTTTTCGACCTGCATATGAATTAACACGAGATGAATTGGAAAGAGCCGGTAGAAATAAATGAAATTTTCGGACAAATTTGATTAAAGACGCTATTTTGAATTTGTTTATACTATTGTTAAAATTGTTTATATATACATAAGTCGAAATAAATTTGTGATAATTTTATTTATTTAATGAGCATAAAATTCTTATTGCATATTTAGGATTACTGAGAATTTCTTAAACATGCAATTAGATTATTATATTCTTGTCATTCTATAAAGCATCCATGTTTTTACTCGTTCAACCTAAACCAGGTATTTGAGTTTCAAATTCTTATTTGCTAACTCTATTATAGGTTTTAAAAATATTAAAAATAATTAATTTACAGACTATTACACTTTAAAAAAAACCTAATTTTACTTTTTCTCTATATGAAATCAGCTTTGTTGATTTCGATTTGACAAAAAAGCTAAATGTCCCTTTGGACACTTATTTGCATAATGACCTTTATTACCACATTTAAAGCAGGTTATTTCTTCTAACGGTTTTGGAGCAGGTTTTGGATTCGGAGGTTTAGATTCACTTTGCGACCGGTCATTGTGGTTCTCATTATTTCCATTTTCATTAGCACCTTGCAGTTGTTGTTGATATATTTGCTGTTGTTCACGATGATGCTGTTGTTTAAAATAACTAAGGGCTTTAAATCTAGCTTCTTCTTGTCTAATTGTGGCTTCTTTTTGTTCTGGAGGCATTTTACTGCAACCAGAAGCTTTATGACCGAGCTCACCACAATAATGACATGTTGGAGGTCTTTTAACTATTTGATCTTTAGGAATTTCAGGCGGGGGAGGTAATTCAAATCTGGGATGCATATATTTACATTGATGTCCATCTGGACAAAATCCAGCTAAGTAATTCATGCATAACACACGACGTACATGCCTGTGACGGCAATGAGGCCCATGCCTACAAAATCCACGGTCGTACCACGGGCAATCTTTAATTTTGCTTTCTGGATCTATATGCAGAAATGGACATTCTTTATTGTGGCATGCATTAAACCTTGAGTAAAAGTAGCATTCAGGCATTTTTGTCATATCATATTCGTGCAAAAATTCACATTGATCTCCTTTTTTACATAAACCTCTTAACCAATGTTTACATACAATAGTGCCCCCACGAATATGACGAAATGGACACGATGCACCTTTGTCACATTCTGATCCATCGACACCATTGAAAAACTGACACACAGCAGCGGTAGATTCTAGAAAAAATAATGCCAATTATCTTTCTATTCATAATAAAATAATTTTTCATAATTGTTATCAAAGTTTTCAACTCACTATCCATGCCGGGAAAAGGTAAAGGTAAGGCTCCGAATTGTTGATTCAAATCTCTTTCAATTTTGAACTCTAAATGATCTACACTTGCTATTAAAAATTCCATTTTTAATTCTAGTCCTTAATAATACAAAAAATTAATATAGCTTTACAAAACTTTTTTCTTTACTTTTACAAAAGTTTAAATAGCCTTTGCCAAAAACAATTTTATATTTTTATTTCACGTCGTATATGAACGTTGCCACATTGTAAAATATTGTATTGTGTTAAAAAATGTCACAATTAATTCAAAAAACTTAGCGTTTTTTAAAATTCAGTTTTATAAAAAATTTAAAATTTGTCTAAAAAATATCAATAAATCTAAATAACTTTGTCTCTTTTGTTTTTTTGTGGAATTGAATTGCATTTAAAATTAGTAACCTTTTATTTTTATTTTTACGAAATTTAGCAGAACGCAGAATGATGTGTTCGATATTTAATCATGTGGCATTGTCACCTTTGGCCAGTTTACAGATTTTCTTTAAATTTGACATTAAGCGAGAAAAATTTAAAATTCGAGAGTCATTTTATTCCATCATATATTTTTGTCAGAAGTGTATTCCACATGAATTCTAACATTTCGCCTGACATATAGAATATACATTTTATTCTATTTTACAGTTGGTGGCTTTTTTTATATCATTTGTTTCCATGTTACTTTATAATACAATTGTACAATTGATTTTGACTTTTGCGGGATTGAATCGCCCGCCATTCCCGTTCACTGCTTTGGTTTTATTTTTGCAATTATTCCTTTAAGAAGCCATAAAAATTTTCAGCATTCTTCATTCAAAATGGTGAAAATAATAAATTCACAATGAAAAATTATCAGTTCAGCACGATTATACTCTGAGATACATATACATCTTTCCAAAATGTTTATAAGACATCAAAATGTCAAAGCTAAACTGCTGCATAATGAAGCATACTTGTTTTTACTTAAGAATTCTTAAATGGCTTAAGTTAAGCGAGTATAAAAATAAGCATTCAGCAGAAAATTGCTTGAAGCCTTTGGTTTGTTGAAAATAAGAGAAATTTTTTTCGAGGATTTTTATTCCTTTACCTATACTGCAAGTACAAAAAACTATAGAATTGAATATTAAATTAAAAATTCATATATAATTACATAGCAGAAAAGGGAATGAATATAAAAACAACTGCGTGTAAACACGTCGATTAGTCCCAATAAACATTTAAAAGGTAAAATTCTAAAAACCAAATAAGTCTCGAAAATCTATATTTATTAAATATTAAATTCTCGATAATTTCAATTTTATAGTACAAAATCAGTTTTTCACCATTCTTATTGCACCACTACGGCACCGCCGTTTATTTGACATTGTATTCTGCTCTTGAAAATTTTTGGTTTAGTCATTTTGGAGAATTTTGTGAATAAACCTCATAAAGAATTTTGTGCTTCGGGAAATATAAAATATATAAAAGTGTAGAAAAGGAAAAAAAAATTCTAGTGCCATTATATTGAAAAAAAAATAATAAAAATAGAAAAAAAAAAGATAAAAAATATATACATATATTTTTCCACAAGTATTTCTTTTAATAAAAATTTATTTTTAGTTGGATCAATATTTGCATTGCAAAATTAATATTTAAAAAGCTTATGAAAATATTGTAAAAAGTTCTCTTTTGAGAAAAGAAAAATAAAAAAATTACGGGAAGTTGAAGTGCCAGAAAAAATTATCCATCTCACCAGTTTTGTTAAAAAAAAACAACAAAAAGTGGAATTTCATTATTTTAATAAAGGAAAATCTTTAATTATTATTTAAAATATTAAATTTTAAAACCCCTCAGAATTAAAATGTAAGTAATTTTTCTATAAAAAACATATATACCTATATTTTTTAATACAAATATTAAAATTAAATATCGATAAATAAAAATTCTACATCTTCCAATTTATTAAGCTAATTTACATCTCTTGCTGACTCTTCACAAGGGGCATTAAAACTTCCTACACTTTATATAAGTAGGAAAAGGAACAAAAAACAAATAAAAAAAACTGCAGAAATATCTACCAAATCCATAACTCATTTTACTCTTGCGACTCTTTTAAGTGAGTAACATGTATCTAGGTATATATGTATGTATGTTTAGACTTAATGTATCTACATATATTAAAAGAATGTAGGATCATAAATACATACAAAACATATAAGTTCATTTCATTTAGAGAAACTATTTAATTTTAAAGGCGACCTCCCTCAATGAATCAATTAATTGATTGAATGAGTGTATATATTAAAAACATCTATTATATTGTATATTAGTCGATCCACGGTTATTGAAAAACAAAAAACAACATAATTTGTGAAGGTGATTAGATATTTTAAGTAAAAATACGTGTATGTATGCAATTTGATAACAAATTTGTTAGCAACATAATAATGATTTCTAAAAGTTGCAGGTACTTATTGAATGAAACTAGCAAATGGAATTTTAAAAATTAAATAGAAAAAAATTCATCAGTTAAATACCACAGCATTTTTAGAGAACTACCCAATTTTATTTATTTTTACCTTAATTTACAAATTTTACCAAATTTAAAATTTTTATATTCAATCATTTTTTTTTTTTTCATTATCCACAGCTGGTGGGTCCTACCTATCTTACTTAACAATTATTAGATACCTACATAGATCTTTCAAACTTACATATAACTTTCAAAATTCGGCTTAAAACATTTACATATCTTGTATATGAGAATGTAGGTGTATACTGTATTACTCGTATATATTGTAATAATAATATGAAATTTTACAATTTATAACTATTGTTAGTTTTGTCCTTGTCCCCATAGAGTACATCATTGGATATGCATGATTCAAGGTAAAAAGGCAAGAAAAAAAAAACAAAAATTAAAATCATTTTCCCTATGAATACAGAAAATTACAAATACTTACTACAAATTTTCACATCTATATGAGTTTTGTATGTATATATGTATGTACATATGGATGTAGATAATTTTAGAAAAAAAATGTATGTAAATAAAGGAGAAGAATATACGGTATATTTCACAAAATATGAATGTGTATCAAACAAAATAAGCATGGAATAGATAGATATTGTTATACCATATGAACTTGGATTTTATTTTCGATATGATGAAAAATTCTTTTATTTATACATACACATGTGTTTATGAATAGAAATAGAAATTATGAAAAAAATAGAAAATGCAGTAAAGAAATTGTAAAAAAAAATTATTCCTGTTTATTTGATATAATATAGAAAATTCGAATAAAAATTAAAACAAAAAATTTTTTTCTTAATTTTAAACAAAATTGCCATTTTGCCAATGTGCTGCTGTTTCTAAGTGGGTTTGTACGTATCTACTAGCTTAAAAAAATAAAAAATGTTTAATTTAAAATAAAATAGTATAAGTATAAATCATAGGGAAAGTTATAGAATGCCCATTTAACTACCTTTTAAATTAAATACCTACATACATACATATGTATATAAAATATTTATACATTTTGATATTATACAAAATATACAATTCTTAATTAGAAATTCTGACTATTTTTAATATTTGTAATTAATAACAAAAGATTTTCTTAAAATCATGTAGTTATATTTTTTTATTTATTATTTTATAAAGGTTAAATGTGAAGGACATTGTAAGCTATACATACTTATAAGTACACATGTGCCATACATACTTTCTATTCTTATTAATGTGCTAAAACCTACTATATGTATAACAAATTCACATAAATAAATGGATGTATATATGTATATATATATATATATATATACATATATATATATATATATATATATATATATGTATATATATATATATATATATAAATATATATATATATATATATATATATTTATATATATATATACATATATATATATATACATATATATATATATATATATATATATGTATATATGTATATGTATATACTGAAAAAATATTAATGAAAATTGATTCCTACAGTATACTTTTTTAAGTATGTATGCGCCCACATATAAATTTTTTTATTTTCTAATTTTCTATTAAAACTTAAACAAATTGACATTAATCGGATTAAATTTACAATAACGAATATTTTACTTATTTATTATTTAGACATCCTATATAATAAGTAGTTATGTGCCTATTTTGAAGTATAAAATAATTTATAAATGAAATCTCTAATCCTTACTGTTGTCTATTTATAAAAAAGGCAGTTTCATTATGAAGTTTTTTAATATTTAAAAAATATCTTTATCAAGAACATATTTTTCCTCAATAAATTTTTTCACTTAATAAAAACTTTCTTTATTTTCGTGAATAATTAAGGGAATATTTTTTTTAAAGAGCAAGACTTACCAAACATTTTGATCAAAAATAATGACCTTGACATATTCAACATAGAATTGCAATTCTCACATTAAAATATTGGTAAAAATGGACATGTGTCGTTATGGAGATGGGAGAATTTAATTTACTCACAAATAATTTAAAGAGAAAAATTAGCAGTTTTTTAATTTATATACACATGTACATATATGTAGTGTATACACGTGACTACATATAAATATATACTTATAGAATTATGACAGTTCGCTTACAATAAATTTACAATTTCTATATAATTAAATATTTTTAATTGAATTTATCTGTTTCTAATAGGTAATTAATTAAATGATTCTTTACAACAAGAAATTGAGAATCTTTTAATTTTAATTAATCAAAGAAACAACAAAAAAAAATAAATGGAAACAGGAAAAAAATTATGAAATTTGAAGGTTACCCAGAAGTTAGTTTAATACATGAGTAAAAATGAAACAAAAAGTTGTAACAAATGTTAACGTAGGTATTTAAAGCAGAATAGAACAGGTGAAGATACCTGTTATTGATAGCAAAAATTAAATAGAACATAAAAACGGTATAAAAACTGTTTATCCAGGTGAAAATAAAAAATATGTGTGTATGTGTAAGTGTAATATCTTTTAAATTTTTCAAAAAGTTTTAAAAATACGAGTATCATAATAATGCGTGTCGAATAATAATAATAAGCGCTCGATATATTCAACAATATGGCAAAAGAAGATTCGTAGAATCCAAGAAGTTTGATATTTACTTCAATTCTGTATTATAGATTTTCAATAAAAAAATTTCGGAACAATCCAATTTTAACTTGAAATAAATTGAAAAATTTTTCAAATTGTATCGTAACAAATGGATTTGAATATAAACACAAAAGTAGCAGAATTTTGTTTAAACTTAAAAATTTTAAACCTGTTTTGAAATATTATTTGTCATAATGCCAACATGCTTATGTATATTTCCATTTCATAATTTTGTATTTTTATTTTAGAGAATGCAATAAATTTGTATACAAAATGACGTCATTGTATTTAAGCGGTGATATAAAATAAAAATAACAACAGTAGCAATAAATTTATAATAAATGAAATTAAGATGTATTGGTGATGATAGAGTTCTTGTATAGTAAGGAGGGAAAAACTTGTTTAAACTTTGGTTTTGTTATTGTTTTTCTTTCTTTTTTTTAGAGCAGGTGTAAACAAATTAAAACAGCGTGTTTTTTTATATATTTGCAAATTCATTATAAGTAATTCACTATGTAATCGTTTATCAGAAAACTTGTTACAGTCAAGTTGTAATTTCTAAAAATTAAAATATTCAAAATGAATATTGAAAATTATTAAAATTGAAATCAAAATTTTGATTTTTACGAAAATTGATTCAATTAAAATTTAACTTTTTTTGTAAATTTTTATTTGACGATATAGATAAGATAAATTTTTATTTAACGATAGTTAAGATTTTATTAAATTGTTTATTCTAATTTTAATCAGTTTTGGGTATAAATGAACAATTATATGTATATGTGTGTATATAAAGTTCAGGTACTTCCTGACTTGCGCATTCCTATTATATTTAAATTTAATCATTTTAACAGTGTAAACACAAAATTAAAGTTATAATAATAATCACTACTAATAATAATTAGTAATGATAATAATTATCGCTCTTCATGTCACTAAATAAGTAATTTTTATTTACCTTACAATAAATTTCAATTTTGAGGATGTAGATTCACTGTAAGTTTATTTTAACCTTTGTTAACAATATGAATGCTTCGGTGCTTTTAACAATTTTTCTGCAATATGAATGCTTCGGTGTATTTGGTGTTAAATTTTATGAAAGCCTTTCTTTTAAAATTCAGAGTTTGAATTAACTTTTCAAATCAAAGGAGATATGATTAACAAGTATGGTTAGTTGTAAGAATCAGTTTGTAGATCACTATTTTTAATATGTTTTCATTCTCATACCATTAGTTGTACCATTAACTTATCACAACTTTATTTTTTGCTTCTTCTATCTAATATAACTCTGGGTACTGAAATTTAGATGTTTGAACTGAGATTTTTGTTTCCACCACAAAGTATTCTTGATTATTTTCTAACAAGGACTCTACAAGAAAAAAAATATAAAAATATAAAAATCATAATATTGTGGTATATGTACTTTTTTATAATAAGTATTGCTTTTAAAACATTAAATTTAATAATGAGAAGAAATTTGAATTTTCTAAATTCCTTTTAAACTAAATGTTCTCTTACATAATACAATTATATATTTACATACTTAAAATTCTATTCAGATTTTCATATTTTTGTTTTTGTTTCCACTAAATATTTATTTCAATTTGTCATATCCTTCTTCTACGAAATTTGCAATTTTGTGTATTCAATATTAGAAAAATAATGAATTATTCAACTTTATTAAGTATATTTTTTTTAGAAATCTTATACACATACATATATACTTACTTAAATATAAGAACATACATACTAATATAGATATTTTCAAAGAAAATTGCGTAGTCACAGAATGAAGAAATTAATAAATATAATCTTGCTCGGCATTTTATTTGAAGACTGGGGCATTACAACACAACTCGTATAAAATTAACAAATCTCTGAATTTTATTTAAGCAGAAAGACTGCAAAAATATCTATTTCCAATTAAGCATTGTTTTAATTATAAATGGTGTAGCACAATACTCTCATAATAAATATTAT